GACGAAGAGGAAGAAGAAGAAGAAGAGGAGGAGGAGGAGGGGGGGGGGGAGGAGGATGAGGATGAGGATGAGGGATCTGCTCCTCAACTCGGTGTTGACAAAGATGAAGAGGAAGATGAAGACGATAATGTCATGCAGGCGGATGAGGACGAAGATGACGATGCTGTAGTCGCCCAAACACCCAGCGAACAGGATGCTGACCAAGCCGATGGGGAGGGCGAGGATGACGAGGAAGAAACCAACAAATCTGACGCAGAGGATGCGGAGGATGCAGAGGATGATGCCGAAAACTCAGGTTCTGATGCTGATGCCGATGCCGAACCCTCAGCTCATGCCGATGCAGCTGAAGATGCAGAGGATGACTCCATGAATCTTGCTCCTGCCAGCGCTGCGGTGCTGGGTGGTGGACGGGGTCACAAGCGCAGTGCCAGCGTCATCTCTGAAGCCAGCAGGGCCGGTAGTAATCGCAGTGGGCTGGGAAGAAAGAAGAAACGCTGAGCTCTAGTATCGCGCTCACTCATCTAGCATGTGCAGCATGGTTCCAAAGTAACTGTGCAGGATATCAGAATGAAGAAACCGTTTGTATAATTTTGTTTGTGACATACTGAGGCAGATTCCATTGTATCTCATACTCATTCATAGCTTGTACGTACTATTGTGTACTATTGTGTCCCAGTTCAAACACTGCTCTGTTGGCCGGTTCTTGGGACTGGTTGGCCAGAGTGCCTGAAGGGTACACCTATCGCCCGTGCCAAAATAGGCATTCCCAGGTACCCATTCCTGGGTGCTAACGTGCGGCGCACCGTCCCCAGGACCAAGACCCGTCAAATGCCTGATTTGCGGAACCCACAACTCAACCTCAGACTCCTAACCTCCTACCGAACAACCATCGTTATTATCGTTCTCATTGTCACTCATATCTATCAGCCTCAATGTCATTGTCGTCATCACCACCTCACCCCTATTCTCTCTGCTGTCGCACTGCAAGTACATCTCTTCACTTTCGACAATCCCAGCCACGTTGGCATCGGTGGCAACTCCAACCAACAGTGGAGAGAGGTTGGCGTTGGCGTTGACGTTGACGACGCCGGTACGAGCACCTGCCTGCTGGCTGCTGTTCCTGTTGCTGCTGCTAGGACAGCCGCCTCGCTGTGTGGTGCCCGTTGGCCACCTGAGGACCGCTTTGGGTAGCACCAGCAACAGCACCAACACCAGCACCAGGGGCGTGGGCAGGGTTGCTTCCACTGGGACTCCGCTCCATCAACAGCTGGTTCAGCTGTGCACGCAGAGCCTTAGCGTCGTCTGTTCGACGCCGGTTTTCACCTGCTAGATGCCGGTTTTGGGCCTCTAGACGCTGTCGTTCAGCTGCCTCGCGCCGGTATGTGGCTTCTAGAGTGTGGTTGACATGCAGCAGGCTCTCGTTAGCGTCTGCGAGAACCTGATTTTGCGTCTGCAGAAGCCACACCTGTTGTTGCAGTTCCAGGTAAGCTGCTCCAAGGCCTGGCTGGCCTTGCATCTGTGCTTCTTGCACGTACTCCATGTCTGCTGTGTCGAGAATGGAGTAAAATGTGGTGGTGGTGGTACCTGCTGAGATGGGTGCACAGTGGACACCGCTCGAAACGGTGTTTGACACGGGTTTGTTTGGTCGTGACAACCTCTTGCCAGTGGATGTCTCAAGGCTTCGCGAGGTAACTGGGAACGGTTATTGAGCTGCTAAACTCTGATAGTTATTATTAAAGAGGTGAGCGCTGTAAGTTTTGAGTGGTACGGACTGAGTGAGTACTGTGAGTGTTGAGAGTGTTATGGAAAGGGTGAGTGCCGTGAGTACTTTGATGTTTTTGTGGAAGTATACAATGGAGTCTATGAGTATCTGACTGTAAGCCTCTTATGGATGGATTGATGGGGAGAGATGAAGCCTTTAGGCCATGATATAGACACTCACAGTGCTTATGAGAAGGTTGAGGTCCTCACGGTGGTTAGAGGTTCTCTTCCTCAGTGAGGACCTCCTTCGATAACTCAAAATGATGGTATGGGCCTGCAGAAGAAGTCACGGCAATCTGAAGCAGGGAGCCGGCACAGTTCATTGGTAACCATCTACAGCAGACTTTTCCAAGGTCAACAACCAAGCCTCGAAAACGAGACTCCTGACAATACAGTACCGACCGGTGATGGATCCACTGGTTAACAGGGTATTCATTCCCAAAACACTGTTGAACGCGTTTTCTTTTTCGTTGCCTTTAGTCACGACTAGAGCCTAGTGGCCCTGGAAAAGAAGCGATATGAATCAACCCGACTTCATTCGATTGAGCCGGCAGAATGGCTCGATGACGGACAGAGTGCTATGTTCAAACCGGTTAGCTCTCTGATCATGCCATCAATAAGCTCTAACCTCCCAGCGTTCGCCGTTATCCCGGCGCTAGAAGTAGTGGTCCTTCATGATGAAGGCCAAAATCCGCACGCTTGTTGAAGGACTTTTGCTTGTTGCTGTCATGCTTCAGATGAATTGATCCACACGTTATTCCGCATGACACCCATGCCGATCATGTAGCTTGCATGGTAAAGACGATAATTACTAGTCCCTATTGCTAGTATGAAATCGTTCAAGCTTGGTGCAGTTGCATCTTGTGTCTCTGTCGACTTCTGATATTCAGGGGGAATGGTATGGAGATCCAGCCTTGCATGGCTTGGCTTGGCTTGCTGCTCTTGCTTTGCTTTCCGTTCATACTATTTCCGTGTGTTTCATTATTACTAGCACCATACTAGCAGTCCTTGATTGCGCTAGTGATGCGGAGTGCCTCGACCCGGCAGGCTAGTCTATTTTTGATTTAGTGGATCGGTGCGGAGATGCAATTACAGTAAATCATTCACACGAAGACCAGCAATAGCTGCTCTTCCTGTGCTGGTGCAATTGAAGACTAGCATTTCCAGATACTAGGGAGGAATACTAAACTCACATAGCATTATGGCATAGAACGAAGGCAAGCTGTCCTTAGAAAAATGCAGCGGCATCCTTGTCCTGGGATCCACGGTCACACCCTGGAAAGCTTCCTCGACATCAGTCTCTATGCGTGTCCGTAGGCGAGTGACATGGAGTGCCCGAGTTGTGCCCCACCGTTGCAGGTTTCTCTCCCTGGATCGGCCCCGCAGCAACCGACAAACTACATCACAAAACCGAACCACCCTGCTTTACACTAACTACTTCAGCCAGTTCCTGCGCGATCGACCAGGCTGTCCACCATTTCTTTCAAAGCATCCGCAATAAACCTGCGGACAAGGCAAGAAGCCTTCTACAATGAACGTGTCACTATGAGCGTTATACTTTGCACAGGTCAGTGTCGGCCCATCTTCTCAGTTTCTTCCCCTGCAGTGTGGACATCGACTAAAGATCTCTCCCACAGCCGGGTATGACCATACCATCAGGTACGCGAACTCCGATCCGACAGCCGTCCTTCCTTCGTCCAGTCACGTAAAAGAAAAACTCAATAAATGACTCCTGCCCCGATCTAGGTTTTGGGAGGCCTTGTCGGGCATCTGTTCTCGCACAATCCAGCACCCCGAATCACAAGTGAATCGACTATGCATCACGCCAGACAAGAAGTTCCTCGCCGCGGCTGGCCGCCATATGGTGCGCCTCTACGACATCAAATCCACCAATCCTAACCCGATCATGACATTTGAAGGACACACAAACAATGTCACAGGCGTGGCCTTTCACTGTGAGGGCAAGTGGATGGTTACCAGTTCCGAGGACATGACAGTCAGAGTCTGGGATACCAGATCTGGCTTGGTTCAGAGACACTACCAGCATACCCACCCCGTGAACGACGTGGTCATCCACCCGAACCAAGGCGAGCTCGTCAGTGCCGACCGAGGAGGAAACATTCGCATTTGGGATCTTGGAGAGAGCAAATGCACCCACCAGCTCATTCCGGACGAGGACGTCTCTGTCTCGAGCGTCAGTGTGGCAAGTGATGGGTCCTTATTAGCAGCTGGTAACAATCGTGTAAGTTACTCCAAAGTTACTCCCCAACACCGCGACACCCAAACCTTCTTCAAAGCGAAGGAGGGGACCCAACGTGCCTAATAACGAGATCCAGGGCGATGTCTATATTTGGCGCATGTATCAGAACCACGACTCCACAACCTTGCTGCCATGCAGAGTCTTCAAAGCTCACAAGGACTACCTAACGCGCCTGCTCCTCTCCCCAGATATCAAGCTCCTCGCAACGTGCAGCGCCGATCACACCGTCCGGATTTGGAAGATCGACATGAACGAGGACAACCTCGAAGTCGTGCCCGAATCCCAGACTGCTAACAACAGCAACAGAAATGCGAAAATCAACAATGGCAGCCCGAACGACCCGAACGGCACCCCCAACCAAGCCCTAATCTCATCACACAGCAGCAGCCAACCGCGCCACCCACGAAACGGCAGCCTAAGCAGCCACCCCGCGGGAGTCACCTCGAGCGGCAATGTAAACACACCCAACCCCGAGACCTTCACTCCCTCGCACAGCGCCAGCTCACTCTCTCACCCATCGCTGTCCTCGGCCGCACACTCCTTCAACGCCATCTCCGAGATCATTGAGAAACGCCGGCCGTTACCCTCTGACACGGTGCTCGACAATCACCAGCGCTGGGTTTGGGACTGCGCCTTCAGCGCCGACTCCGCCTACCTCGTTACGGTCTGCAGCGACCACTATGCCCGGCTGTGGGAGCTCAGTTCTGCGAGTATCATTCGCCAGTATAATGGCCATCATCGGGGCGCTGTCTGCGTTGCGCTAAATGATTACTCGAACCCACCGTGAGAGTCAGAGAGGGATGGAGGGTGAATGTTTTCGTGCTATCTATCAATGTCCCAGGCGGGGCATGTCTTGACGTTCCTACAAGACTGACGGGCAGTACCTATGTGCCGCAGCGATGAGGAAGTCGACACAGGGGGTACCTATGCATACGTATGTGGCTCGGTGGTCGCACGTTGCTACTTGTTGGGAGTGATCGCCGGACTACATCCATTGCTTGGAGGCGCGGTGTGGCGTCTATCTCAGCATGGCGTACCTTCCGCAAGGCATAACCCTTCTTAAACACGTTGGTTATTTGGATTCGAAGCCAGACTCATGGGAAGGGACATCACAACGAAGCTTCATTATCGTGGAGTTTTGTATTGCTTCCTCACTAGGTCTTCTTAGCAACCTGAACATGATGGCAGCCAAGCTGCGCGCCTCAGCAGGCATTGTGTTGATGTTCTCTTGAGAGTAATGCTCCAAATCCAAACTGGTGTTCCAATCATGAAATTCCCCTCGCACCATTAATGGCTCCGACTGGGAAATATTAAGAGAGCATAAACAACCGTGCCTCACCCAGTGCATATACAGCGTATTCAATCACCACGGCATACTACTCGTGACTCCTAATCTCCCTTTGTCCAAACCACTAGTAGTCCATGCTCGTTGCTCTCCGCTTATTTTTCGACGACTCTAAGTACGAAATTGATCACAACAGCGCACAACAGCGCCATGGCGAGAACGGTGGGGCCTATCCTATCGTCAAAGCCTCCCTGCCCTCGTTGCCGGATGCTCTTGGCACGCCAATGGAAGGTGAATAATGCGTACAGCATAGCCCCCATAGCTACAAGCGTGAAAGCGCCTGCGGAAATGCGACCAACCGAGTCGCCAAAGTTGAGCAGCCCCACTGCCAATCCACCGAGGATGACTGTGAAGTTGAGCCAGGACAGGAAAGTACGTTCATTTGCGAAAAAGACCTTAGGTTCGACACGGGTGGGAAGAGCGATACGCTTACCTAGACAATATCGGTTAGTGATTACCATGGCATCAGAAGGGCTATTCAAGTTACCGGGAGCGCTCTGGAGCAGTGGCTGTTCAGACATATTGCTGCTATCAGATGATTGAGTTTGATTTGCAACACGCAATCGGGATACGTCGTTTATAGTGGTGCTAGATGCTGTCTCTAATGATGAAGTCGCGGTTGCAACTGCTCTTCGGGACGCTGACGTGGATCCGGGTGCGGGATGGGTATTGATTTCAGCGGGTGGTGTGGTTGAGGTGTTTGCTTAGAGTACTATCTTGCCGTTTCTCAGATGCCTCTCGCTAATTGACAAGGAAGATTTGGAGCTTCCTAGTGGGCAAAGTGGTCTTCTGGTCTGGATCTGCGCGCGGTTTGAGCTTTCTCCCTCTGCAATTGAGAGAAAGGCAGTGGGATAGCCTCTGGTGGATTGAGATTTGTGCTTGGTGGCGGGCCGATGAGGTTGTTCTAAGCGATCTTGAGGATTGGCCTCGAACTCTGTAGACAATTTCACCGGCTCTTGTTCACGACTACCACTTGGGCCGTCTATTTCCGCAGCTCCTCTGCGAAACTCCAATCAGATAAGACGAAACTCGAATGATGGGTTCAATTTCTGGGTAGTTCGGGAGGAGACTTTGAGGGAAAGCAACGAGGCGTAGGCTGGGTAGAGCTGGGTTTAGTGTATGTATCGGTTTAGAACAAGACCGACAGTCGGATTGGCCTTTGTGCAGTGTTTGGTGCGAGAAGTGCTTCTGAATGCAAGCAAACGGCGGAGACAGTGAGGAGTAGTTTTGTACAACAGAAACAATCAAAGATATAAGCAAGTGAACCTGCTAGTCTGCGGTACAAGGGGAGGTAAGGTATGTCACACAATAAAGCTGTGAAGATCTGGTACTGCTTGGAGAAAGTGAAGAAAGCACTGATTGAGTCTTTGGTGAAGCTGCTTGTTGCTGGTTCTGGCGCCGCCCGGTCGCAGCGGGCAGTAGCAGTGGCTGGCAGCAGCAAGTACTACTGGTCGCTCTTGCACTTTTCTGCTAGCTGCGGGGATTATTTTTGACCCAACCGCATTGGGACAACACCGTGCTCGTGTTGCGACTTCTCATTTGTCCGCTTGCACCAGCAACAGCAGCAGCTCAACTTAAAGTGAAGCACGTGCAAAGCGAAGAGGCTCGTCAACGCGCACGTGCCACAGATTTTTCCGCCGCTCACTTTCCTTCGTCTCACCTATTTCAACTCCACCGTAGTCTCTATGGCTCATCTTCTACGGAAGGTCAAATCGACCTTTCACGCCAGGGTCTACAATGACAGCAAGGACACAATTGCCTATGAGGGACAAGCGAAGACTCGGCCTTGGATTGGCGCCGATGCTCATGCTGTTGCTCATGCTCATGCTGAGGCAGAGATCCGGGCTCCACATGCACAAGCAACCACAGCTCCATCATTGTTTTGCTCCAATCACAACACCACCACCAGCAGTTCCAATTCTCCAGATCTTTCAATCCGGCCATCTCCTAGGCGTCTGCAAAAACCTCGCTCGGGTATCATTACTGCCATTCCTCGAACTCCGTCCACACAACAATTGTACGATTTACCTGGACGAACACGCACGGGGGTGACAAATCCAGAACATCTTCACACCTTTTCTCCGTTTCGTCGTCGCCTCGTCCACAAAGCTTCTACTTTCAGCCTCAGGAACAAACGTTGGACTCGCGGTCGATTTTCAACTTCAACGCCGAGGTCACGCGCACAAGAGGCTGCAAGGGAGGAAGAGCGGATCAAAGAGAGTATCTTGCTTGACGAAGAAGGAACGGCTATTGTCGAAGCTACCTATCAAAGACCACAGGCCATTCCCTCTGCGCCTGCAGCTGTGACGATCGCTCAAGGCCAGACCATTGTCGATCGACCTGTAAGAGAAAGAGACTGGGAGCGTAACCAAGCCACTCAGGAGAACATCCACGATCAGCGGCGCAGCTTCACAATTACCTCTTCAATACCCACCATCCGCCCTGCATCTACTACTAGCAGCACTCAAACCGAAGTCGAACAAGGCAAAGCTCAACGCAAAGACTCAAGTCGAAGCAAAGTTTCAGGCGCCCGTCAAGACACCACATCCCTTGGCGATAGTCAGGACTTGATCAAGGTTATGGCAAGCGAACTTTCTGCACCTCCAGTGCCATACACTCGTCTTAAGGAAATCACCGAGAGCGTAAGTCAATCAAATCAAACTCCATTGCGTGCAGTTCCTGCTCTTTCACGTAAAACTTGCTTCTGATCCCTACATGGACTAACCAATGCTCTTTACAAAACAGGCATGTGAGACCGCTCTTTCTGGCGTGACCTCCTATTCACATGCCGACACAGAGTCATGGAATACCACGATAATCAACAACATCCTGGGAGCCTTGGTCGCCGAAACCACCCAGCAATCAACCACGAGTGGCTCCACATCAGGTCAACCGCAATTCAAATATGTTGTGAACAGCACCATCATTCAACACGCTGGATCTACGGCATCAGCGACCCCAGGCGAAGAGCCTTCTAAAAAGATTAGCGGCCGAAGGGGTATGCACGCTGCCAGCGGTGCCTATTGGAACAACGAGAAGGATGGAATGTGGAGCTTCAAGTACCCTGGTGCAGACAGCAAAGGGTTGGATGTGGTGGTGGGTGTCATCTGGGTGTGGGTAGGTTAGGGTGCTGGTGGTGCTTATGGTGACTCGGCCCTGCTAGACATGCTTGCCGGGTGGAGAGAGAATCAAATGTTGGGATACTTGCAGATTATGAGGCACACTCCCGAGAAACGGAAGGTGGGTCGGTAATTCTTTGCTTGAAAAGTCCAAGGTTGGCGAAGCAGTTGAGGGAAAGGCAGCAAAGATTGGACAGCGTTTTTGGCTCAGCAGACCCTGGCCCGGGGTTCGGATCCATCTCTTTTTTGCCGGGTAGGACAGCCTGGACCCAAGAACGCGGATCGGGAATTGCTATGGATGGACAACGACTGGCGATGGCGGCGGTGGCAATCTCATCGACGCTGCACCACTCATTCAACTCACAATGCTAGGACTAGGGACAGAGGGTGGACACGAGCATGTCCGATAGGAACTAGGGGAGTGCCGTTGGTCAAGACCACGAGGATGCTTGGATATTTTGAGTACAATCCTACCCTATCGTTCCAGGACCTACCTTTGGCAACGAGATCCGTGGGGTTAGAGAGAGACTAGGTGTCCGTCAAGGCCGGGCATCTCCCGTGACAGGCCACACCTTGCATGTCAAGTTGCATGTATGCAGGTACCGGTTTGACAGTTTGTGCAGATGGGAAAACTTACCGATGGTTAGGACCGGGTTTGGGAGCCGGATGGACAACAATCGCACTCTATTCGTCCCCCAGCCCTCGATATATTCCTATGCAGAGCCCTAGTCAGTTAATAAAACCTCTATGTTGTACAAGCAGTCTTCCATCAAATGAGCGGCGAAGAAGCGTAGGGCACTGGTGTGAATCGTGACCTTGGTAATAAGTCCGTAGGACAACAACGACTGGCGATCAGGTCTCTAGAGGCTAGCCCACGGAGGAGGCACGTTTTATGTCATGGCACCAAGGTGCAAGGGGTAAAGGCACAGGGTGCCTACTGTACCGAAGTGGAAGGTTTGGTGTACAGGAACGGGCCTTTGATTCTTCCCTCCTTCCCCAGTGCATGGCTTCGGTCTTTCCAGTCCGTGATTTCGGGCAACGGAGACTTATGGGACATATGTACACTAGTATTCTGTAATCCGTACGTACCGAATCGTCTAGGGACTGGACCTGGGCCCCTCGGGTATGAGGACTGACGACGAGTGCTTTGTCTCCCGCGATCCTGGACCCCTGCATGGACAAGATTGCGGGTTGTTTCTTGCCGGCCAATACATTTTTGGACAGAGGCATCGCCTACTCGGGAGGGAACGTTAGCTCACCCTTGGGTCACTCACTCACTCACTCGGTCAGCCATTCCTGCAATCAAATGATTGATTGATTGATTGAACCAATGAAGGCCAAGGCCATCGCGCGCGGAGACAACGTGCATGCCAACGACCCTGACCCTATATAGTCGTGCGTGTCTGTGTGCCTGCGTAGTCGGAGGGGCGGTAGAAGACTCAAGGCATCTATTTCATACCAGGGCCATCCTTGAGGAGTTTTGACATTTGGTGAAGGTTGTACGTACATGTAGGCAGGGGAAAAGGGGGAGAGGGTGCGCTCGCTCGAATTCCCTTTGCTTGGGATGAGATCTCCTTCGCTGTTGCTCAGAATCATAGGCATGGGTTAGTGATCTTGATAGGACACCATGAAATACCCGACTAGCATTTCCTGCATTCGGGGTCCTGGGCTTCTAGGCAGCCTCAGGCCCCTTGTTGCCGTGTGTGAAATTTCGTGATGTTCATGCCTCGAAACCCTCTGCTCAGCACATTATAGACAGCTGACGTACAGATGGGAGCTCAGTGTCTCCCTTCCGACGGGCGTTGCGTGTGTCGTGCCGTCCCGCCGCGCTGTCTTCATCGAGGCTGTGTGGCTCGGCTCGACAGCCAGAGATGTAACATGTTGGATACCGCTTGACCGTGTGATCCGGTGAACCTGTTAGGAACAGTGATTTTCGCTTCCAAGGCCAAGGGGCTGTCTTTACGGATGATTGACTGGCTCTCAGGTAAATTGTCCCTGCTTCTCGGTCACGTCCTCTAGCGGCGTTGATGTGTTTGACCTAGATTCCAGGAGAAAGATGCTTGCCCGTAGGGAAGGGCGAAAGTGCGACGATCAACTCAACCCGAAACAGAGGGAGCTGAACTGGAATTGCTTCGAACCGGAAATTCACTCCTCATAGGCTGGCAGTTGCGTGAGAAAAAGAGAGATGGGCAGAATTCTTTTCCTTACAGAGCGACATCCTGCGGCTGATCCACATGGCGCTTGTGAGGCTGAGGATCCCACGTTGCACTGGGCCAGAGTGAATCGAACTGGTGGAGGATAGTATCAGGCACCGCGTCCACATTAGCATCGAGCCATGTTTTCCGAGGTGGTCGTCATGGCCGACCACATGGAATGAATGTGTGGCATTGCGTGGGCATTTTACGTACAGTACTGCAAGTCAACTCCCAGACAGGGCCCTTGCAGCGGGTGCCGCAACCTTTGCTGGAGAGACTCTGTGTCAGGAGTGCCTGATGAGCATCGCCATCCACTCAACTGTTGTTCGAAGAGAGTTTCTCGCTTCGTGAGGTGTGGTGATACACCAACCCCTTCTGCTGGTTGGCCCCTGCTTGGGATCCCCTGTCGGGCTGCTCCAAGCGCGAATGTACCCCAGATTCGAAGAAGAAATTATCGAAACTCGGTGACGCCGAACCCATCTGTGACCATCTAATGCTTTCCAAATGAAGAGGAATATGAGAGGCACAGTTTGACAAATCCCCTGCAGGCTGACCATGGTGCTGTGACTGGAGCCGGTAAGCCCGAGCTATTCGTGGCGGAAAAGGGCACCTGAGGGCCACCATTGGATGAACCTTAATACAGGAGATATTATGGCTAAAAAGCTTGGTCGCCCACTGCCACAGGTATGACGCCATGGACGACACTGCTAGAAATAGTTCTTAGCTTCCTACTACCAAGGCAAGCAACGGGCGATGGTTGGACTTCGGTTGAACTTTCCTTTGGCAGAAGTAACTCGTCCTCCACCGGAAATGGATTCCATCGGTTGTTGCGGCATTACAGACCCAGAGGCAATGCGCATGTATTTAGGTTTGGCTCAAGGCACCGTTTTATCCTGTCAGCGGGATAATGCTATGAACCTATTCATTGCTGCAGCATTAGTGATATGGAGTGAGTGACGATGCATCAAGAACGCCGGTCATAATCCGCTCTCGACTAAAGTCTACTCCGTACTACAGAGACCAGGCGTGACCTTGATCTTGTGACCATCCTGCGCCTGCGTCTGTCGTTTACACAATAGTGGAGATACTATGCTCTCCATCAAATTTTACTGATTGGAGCAAGGTCCACGACTTCTACATTGGTAGAGGGTTCCGAGGCGCGATGTAGCAATGGGCCGTCCGTAGAGGGTAAGGTGATGGGAGGATCCCACAAGCGAGGTTGGACAGCTCCGTCCGGGAAAGGATCGTCCACGGCTGGATCAAACAGCTTAACAAGCGGGACCAACCCATCGTCGAAGCAGATGAGGATTCCACGGATCGACTCTGTGTTGCCCGAGTTGGAATATGCGCATAATATTTGAGCAGTGGTATAGACCGAGAAGGCCCACGTCTAGCAGTGCAATATTGGCACCGGGTGATTGAAAAGGGAGAAGGGCAACAATTCTAGCCTAGCGCGTTCAGGGTTGCTGATTGACAGAGGTCTTAGGGTGGGGCCACTCGCAGTGAGTCTGACTCTACCAAGTGCTCCCAGGTTCCAGTCTGATGGAATGTTGGTGACCCTCCAGTACTGGATGAACACAAGTGAGGAACGCACGTGTACATACCTAAGACAGCATGCAGCACGGTATGAGGCGTGGAACCATGGTAGTTGCACAGAGGAGAGTAGATTTTCGGGGTGCTTTTGGTGAGACAAAGTCCACAACCAGGAAGCACGCGCTGCACAGCATGGTGTTGTGTCATGGGGCTTGATCCGATCCGCTGTGAGTAACCAGCAATCAGGACTGCTTCATCGAAGCACAAAAGAGCCAATGGACCGATTCTGGACCATCCACAGGCTCTCAGTGGCTTGGGAAGCTTGACGGCGTACCGAATACTCCGTACTTGCTTTAAAGTTAGGTTTTCTGTGGTTGATTGTGAATTTACAAGGGAAAGATCTGCTCCCTGATTGTCCGGGTCTCATGGGAACCTGGCAGTCAGAAATATCCAGCACACAGCCGAAGAGTCCTTAGGATAGCATCGATAACAGGTGTTACATACTGTATTTGTGCAAGATGCCTAGAGAGCTAGGTAGTGAGTTGGACATCGAAGCGAGTCTGTCCTCACCTTTGACCAGTAAACAGCATGTCTCACAGCTTGTGTAAGCCCTGCTGGGCTGCGGGCAGGGAGGCAAATGATTGGCACACAGGTTAATTGCCGGTAGCCGATGAAACGAGTTGTGCTACGATGGAACAAGAGAACAGTTGCAGGAATGAGGGAGGGAAACGGCGGAAAAGGGAAGCCCGGAGAATGACATTGGCCATGACATTTTGGGGCCTCGATTGGGTGCGAGGAGATCGCTTGGAGGAAGCCGCAGTGGGGGGACCACTTAGCACCACTAGGGAGGAACGCTCGGAAGGCAGGCGGGGTTCTGGTACTGTACGGAGGACTCGTATGTTACTCGTTACGCGTTACTCGTGGAGTCGTGGGCACTCCGTGGGCACTTGCTCTTACTCGTAAGCGGGTTCCGCCTGCCGCAACTGGCATTGGCATTGGAGGGGTACACCGTACCTCGTCCAACACCCTAGATGCCCTCGATACCGAGCACTGCACCACAACAGTCTGGCAGGGTTGATTGGGGCAGAGGCAGTGGGAACAGACATCTACAGCTCTCCCTACCAGGCCCCAAGAGCCCTCGAGATGCTCTAACTACGATGAACTGGGTCCTCCATACTCCGCACGGAGTACTCGCAACTGATTATCGAGCTCGGTGCACGCCGTGTTGCGCAGCATGGGCTCGCCGATGCTTGGCTCCCAGCTGGGCTAGTGGTGGGTGGTCCCTGGTCACTGGTCACTGGTCACTGGCTAGTGGCAGAGTGGAGAAGCCTCAAACAGCCAGGAACAACACCGGACCGTACTTTCCCTCACTCGACTGCAGCTACATAGACTTTTTCCACACTTACCCGCTGCGTGGCTTCTGCAAGTCCAAACCCCCTTCCCCATCATCGCTGTCATTTCTGTTCTCGAGTGCAGCTGGAGCCGGCATAGACTGGCCATGAGCACAGCCGGTGAGAGAAGTGGCTGTTCCCGTTGTGTTTGGAACGGCCCTAGCACAACTGGCACCGGGCTGGGCTGCTATTGTTGGACCCTTCCTGCAACAAGAGCATTCAAACCGTTGTTATTGCTCGCAGGAACCTCGTCCGTCGATACTGGGCATGCTAACCAGCTCACTAGAAAACATAGCCACCCCACTGACTTCTCCATACAGAATGCCATCTACCATCCTTGTCTCGATCGTCCAGCTTTACAAGGATGCTACGCGATCTATTGAGGGTAAGCGAAAAATCCTATCGAGCTGAACCTCGCTCCGCTTTCCGTGAGCGGTGCAACCAAGCCCTCCAATCCGTACTTTGTCCTCACAAGCGAATAATAACCCATAGGCTGATGAAAGCGAGATGACAGCTCCAAACATCATTGGGCGCGGAGCATAAATTCTATACCAGCCTTAGGCGACTAAGTCCACCACAACCCTTAACCCCTAGCCATTACTAGACCCCATGGCTGGCCGCCGGGTCTCTGTTCACTAGGAGCAACCTGACGACAGCCTTCTCTCCTACAACACCAACATCAACACATACTGATTTTCCACGTAAATCATATATACGGATACACTTTTATAGACTAAAACACCGGCTTGTTTGAGGCCCGCCACGTGCAACTGCCAACCACTACTCAATTGGCGGTGCAAATGTGAGACGTTGCACTCACACACACCCACCCACCATTCATGATTAGCTTTTACAGCCTCTCGCTGTCGCGGCTGAGAATGCGGACCCGGCAAGCCACTCCAAAGAGGCTGCCACTCTAGCGCAGAGCCAACAAACTACGGCAAGACAACCCCGTCCCTTGGTGAACATCCCTGGACGGGCGCAAACTGCTATTGTCGAGCTAATCCCTTCCTAGGGGCCCTGCTCGTCAAATCTGAGATCACCGTCCTTCTGGGTCGCAGAATCCACGGCGCCTTGCCTTTCCATCTATTCTGCCCTTGCCAGTGCCAACACTCACTTTCCGTCATCCTTCCCCTTCAAGCCCTTCGCTCGCTGCCGAACGGCGGTCCCGGCCTGCGGATTGCGGCGATCTGGCATCTGACACTTACAACTTGGGCCATCCCAGTTGCTAGGTGCTTCCAAGGGGGGACGAAGGGACCCCATCCTTGTCCAGCCTAGTCCCAGTGGCGTTTTCACCACAACTCCTCTTTCCAATGGTTTGTTCACTTTGCGAGAGGCCGCTTGCGCCTGTTTCATTTGCTTCCCAGCCTGGCTCCGGAGCATCTCGTTCCTCCCTCACTCAAGCAGGCCAGGCGAGTCGAGGGTGCCAGTTCACACAGTCCCCCTAGTACTAACTAGACATTTTCCAGGCTGGGTCGAGCCGCTGGATCCCGTCCAGCCTGCAATCCAATAGCACCTGCCGGGCTCTTGATTTTTCCCCGTTCTCGCTTTCGGAAAATATTCAACCAAGTAAAAAAAGTGGATGCATCAATTGCGAATACACCCCCAAGCTTCCGCTCTGCAATTGACCAACCCTTGCCTTGCAGATCAGTTCGAAGTGCCGCTCTCCACAGATATAGGCCACTGTCCACCAAACCTGTGCCCTGAAGGATGTGTCTCACGCCTCGAGTTGTTACTGACCGTTTGCCGACCTTTCATTAGCCTCAATCCATTTGCAGACCACCGTTGCGCTACTATCCTCGTGAACCCCGTGGCTGTCCAATCATACCTTCCACGCTCTTCCTGTCAGGCTTCACTCATCTCCCTTTGATTCTGGCCTGATAAGTTTCTGCACGTTTGCCGTTGCAATTGACTTTCTTCCGGTTCCTCAGCTTCAAGCCCTGGTGAGTCCACTGGAGGACAAGCCACCAGACCAACCCTTTACTTCTGCGGATCATTTCTCTCGGTGTCTGACCTTACGTACTACGGCTTTGCGCAAGTACACGTCAATCCATGAACTGCTCCGAGTACTTGAATGATGTCGGTCGCCACAGAGATCATTCATCGTACCAGTAGTGAAATCGTTCAGTTCTTCGCCATGTCCGACTCTAACAATGATTCAAACAAGGCAGAAAAGAAGAGGTACATCATCTCGCCTCCCTTCATCTCCATGCCCCAAAATACTGACCCACTACTAGAGAGTACAATCGAAACGCCCAACGTGTCTTCCGTAAGTGGTCTATGCGCGGGACCACCCTTTCCGCATTCGTCAGAATCCCGCAACTAACAACAGCAGGCCAAAGACGAAAAGAGCATCTCACCAAGCTTGAGGCTGCTCAACGAGAACTGAACAGCGTCCAGGTGGAAGAGGTCGAACGTCTTCGCCGTGAGAACCAGGCTCTCGCTCAAGAAAACGAATCTCTCAAAGCCGCCTATGGCTCACAGGCGAGCTCACCAGGACCATCTGTCAGCCCTGCCGAATTGAGAGCCTCGCCCTCAGCCTATCTCGCCTATGGTGCTCCGTCTCATAACTTTCTCAGTGGAGTAGGAGCTGGGCATCCTTACGCCACAGGCCCCGTCCCTGTTACACTACCGGCGACGGTGTCGACACCTCTATCTCAAACGAGTGCTGACCCCGGCAATCTCGTGGTTGTCGTTCCCAACAATATTCGCGAGATTCGACGCTCACTTCATCAGATGTTTGCCCCTCTCCTCGAGATTCCTGTCATCTCGAACCCACAGACACATTTAGCCACTTTGGCTGCGCTAGAACCTACACTACCGAGTGCACTAAAGCCTACGCAACTACAACTTTCTACTCCACATCATGCTTATATAGACATGATCCCTTCGCCTATCTTAAGAGACAGACTCATAGCCATAGGGCCCGCCAATGCCAACACTTTCCTCACTGAGACATGTACGATCGCCTGTGAAATTGAAGATACAGGGCAGATGACCATCTGGGGAGAAGACTGGCTCAACGACTTCTCCTGGGAATTTTCTGCCAGTGTATTGGAACGATGGGGAGGTTGGCTTCTCACCTCTGAATGGGGCCAGAGAGCCAACTTCTGGCGACGTCAACGAGGAGTGCCGGTTTTACCAGGATATGATTAATGATTGATGCCAAGCGGTTTTCCATTCTTTACCAATCGCTGGCATAATTGGGCACGTCGGATAAAAGAGCTAAATCTCTTGTATCGGCAAGATAGACTGACTTTCTCAGTCTAGTGGAAGACGGATTATTACAACGTGTCCTCAGAGATGGGACAATAGGGACTACTCCTTAGCTGGATGTTAATTGAACCACCGTCAACGCCTGCCGGCCATCTCCAAAGCAACACAGCCCATCACCTGGTTGATGAGATGACCTGGTTAAGTCGTCGACGTGGGGTTTTGGCGCAGGTCGCCGATTCATGCACGTCTGATCTTTCCCCTACCAACCAGCGGCTGTACAAAATGTATACCTCAACATGTACTTTTATCTTCCTGTTGCTTTTCCTCATACCCATCTTTGCGCGACTATTACACTGCAGCTAGAGGAGGCTTCGAGTCATGTTTTCTCTCCCCACTGAACAGGGTGCTTGAGACGATATCTTGTTGTTCATTTGAACCTTGGAGCATGCCGATCAGTGTTCGAGGGGGCTTCGTCATCAACCAGTATTGGCATCCGGTGAGATCTCAGTATTAATTTATGCACTGCAAAGCTTCAAAGAATACATCAGAGGGCAAATGCACCCGCAGGCTGCGCAGGCGCCAAAGTTTGGTACCTGCGCCCTAAAAAAAAACGTTGGGATCTGCAGCTCAAGCGTGTTTTACGTACATCACCAGCTTGGGATCTCGTTTTGTCAGCTGCGCCTTTGACACATGGCGGAACTGAGCATATACCTGCAACAGCTGTACATTTCTGAAGCTTGTCAACTTCAACATTGGAAAGTGTCTTTATAACATCGCTATCGGTTGTGACAGAGCATGACGCCGTAACTAGTCGGCGGGCTATGTCTATGGAATGGCTTTACCAATGCTAGAACGCCTAGAACCATCAAATTGGGAGGACGAATGGCTCGACGCATGCAAAATCACAATAGTTAGCCACCAGCTGTTCATGGGCCTCAACCTGAGAAACGACCATCTGTGTCACACCTTCAGCCTTGGTTGAAGGTGACAGACATCCATGCAAATGCTTATCACTAAATCGGCCTCCGAATGCATGGACGCACGTCCATTCCTCGCGCTGTCTCAAATCACTAAAAAATCCCCAGAGCAACGCCAGGAATTCCGGGTTTAATGGTCATGTTGGATTCGGTTACAGACAACAGGTACTTCATGATCCTGTACAGGAGACACAAGAACGACAGTCTCAAAGATTATATGAATTCATTTGAGCGTCAACTTTGAGCTAAGCTCCTCTGGCCACTACGGCAATCTGAGTGCATTTTCTGACGCCTGACAACCCTGAACAAAGTCTACATAATGTTCATCTGAGAGACTATATAGACGGTTGTCAAGTCGATGTTGTCTTATCCTCTCGAAGCTCCTGAAACTCACATCCATCACCTTGACGGCGACCGCTCACCATAACCAAGAGAACAGTCTGAATGAAGCCACCGGTTGGTTCTAGCAGAATCAACAACTATGTACGTGCAGCTTGGCTTTTATGCTCAGTTGCAGCTACAACCGCTCGTTCAGGTCCCAGCACCCATTCGAAGATCCATCGAATACCAGCCGGTTGCAAGTTGGTGTTTCGAGACTGAATGGCTCCGCGAGGGTTTCGGTGACTAGGTAAATATGAGATCTGGCTATTGGCAGACCAACCTTATCGACATTGGATCGATGGATAGGTCGAGTCCAATTTACAACCACATAATCAGAAGTGGAGTCAAATCAAACAAGGCATAACGCTGGCTGGTTGAGCGGAGATAACACTGAACCGAAAAAACTGTTATACAGCCGAGATCCTTCACACCATTGCGCCTTTTCCTGATCGATGCCTGGCTCTTCCAAAGACCCCAAGATGTTGAAACTTTGAAATGAGGAACTCCTTTGTCGACCCCCGACATTCAACCGCACGTCTCTTGGACAGTTATACCACCTGTCGTAAGGCTATCCGCCAAGTCAGGATCCGCTTGAACTTCGGGTCCTCAATCTTTGCGACTGGTAACGCTCTGCCAGATCATGATTGATAAATTGCGGAGGGCAGTGAGACCCCAGCTCACTAGATGTACCGCCATCTCGAGCGTGGGTGCATATTTCGATCCTCCCTGCTGCCGCGGCATCGTCCCTTCACAGCTTCGGGCTGAGTGTTATGAACGTGATATTGACTGTTTCCTGGCTCTCTCCTTTTTGCCTGTCGTTGGTTGTGATCCCTCAGAGTCGGTTCCCCCAAACGCCGATTGCTCTGACAAAGCCTTTCTAACAAGGTTTCAAAGCGCTATATCAAGATATGAGAAAAAGAAAGCAATTTGAGCGAAACACCTGCGAAATTTTCCACTGATGTCGACGGCGTTGACTTTCGACAAAGACTACTTTACTCAAATTCCCTTCGCAGACAAAACAAGATGAATACCCCCCATTCACTCTTATCTTATACCGCTGATTCCTCCGTGAGTCACACGTCACGAGGTGCAGCTCGAAGGATTCCGAAGCCTTTCAGCCCCTCCACTTAAGCCGCCTAAGGGCTGCTGGGGGCACTCCGGAAGGGTATCGCCAAGAGCCAGCCTTGTGTGCCAACACGCCCACCAATGCCTATGAGGAATGCGATTCCTACCTTCGGCCCGGCTGCGCGCAACCCACAACCTGCGCATCAGTCTTATTCACTCCTACCTACATTGATCCTTCTACTACTAAGCACATGGGTTGATATAACCTCACATGGGGGCTCGCGGGGATGGGAAGGGAACGCTGACGATCTCACTGGACTTTTGAATACTAATTATGTTATTTCGTATCAATCTAATCTAGCGGGCTGGTCCTGCTGCATTCGAAGTACAGGGCGATTCTCGTGATGGGATCCGGGCTGCGTTCTGAGAACATAGGACAACGAGATTATTATTCGTATATATAAGTAGTAGTAATCCATTAATTCATTATGCAATCCAAGTAGGATCGAGTTTTTTTCAATTGACAGCCTGACCAACGGACCCCGTGTCCAGAGCGAACTATCTTTTCGAGCTGAGATACAGTAAAGTACATGAATTACATATATATAATACAAGGAAGTGCCTTCGCGCCTTCTTTCTTTTTCTCTCTCACACGCACACCGTTGAATCGTCTCCCAGTAGACGGTGTCGAAATCTGTTTGAACACGGCGTAAATTCATCGCATAGCGCATATAGACTCATGTAAATGAATAGATAGACACACAAGAGTGCCAAGTCAAGTTTCATACGGCCCCGACGCCAATGTCATCAAAGCAGCTGCCTATTCCAGAACGATGAGGTGAGGTTCTTATTGATCCTTAAGAAAATCTCCTTTTCCGGTATCCCGTCGTAAAACTCCGAAGTGCCGAGCAGAGAGTCTAGATAGGGTTGGTATGAATGTCTGATTAGAAAATAGCCTGAGGAAACTTCGTGACGACGGTGCACACGTTCTCCGATTGTTGGTTCTTTCACGGCTCAAGGTCGAGTTCCTGCGGGCTGAATGAAGACTGGGTGTGATCGATGGTCTGCCATGATGCCTCAAGCAGATTTATGACCATCTGAATAGGGTCGTGTGTTGATTGCGTTTAACGCTGAGGGTTTGGAGAACGAGTGAGTCCTCATACCAGGATCATCTGGTCACAACTAGACCTTCTTGAAATCAAACTTATCAAAGCTATTCTTGGATCGGGGCAGCAAGCTTTATACCCAAAGCTTCGCCTTTTTCGTCAATTACCACATCAGCCGTTTCACCGGTCTTCAATTCTCCTCTGATGATTTTGTCGGCTAACCGCCGTCCGATTTCTTGCTGGATCAAACGGGTTAGTGGGCGCGCGCCATACCGGGGGTTATAGCCCTTTTCGCAAAGCCAGTCTCTAACTTCAGCTGTGACGTTCAGCTTCATTCGTCGATCGTCCAAGCGACCTTGCAGCTCCTTGATTCGAATGTCGACAATGTCTCTTAGCGCTGACTTTGATAACTTGTTGAAAATGATGAACTCATCGATCCGGTTGAGGAACTCTGGAGGATAGGATGCTTGCACCACTTCCATGACTCCATTCTTCTGCTCGGGGGTCACATGCTCGAGGTCTGCCCCATCTCCTGTCAGGATATCTGCACCGAGATTACTGGTGAGCACCACAAGGGTGTTGCGGAAGTCTACACGATGACCTTGGCTGTCACTCAAGAAGCCTGCATCGAGGACTTGTAAAAGCAAGCTGGAGATATCACGATGAGCCTTCTCAAACTCGTCGAAGAGGAGCACCGCGTATGGTTTTCGTCGAACAGCCTCCGTCAGTTGACCAGCGTCCTCATAGCCAACGTATCCCGCCGTTGCGCCTATAAGTCTGGAGACGGTGTGTTTCTCTTGGAACTCAGACATGTCGAATCTCACGACAGCAGATTCAGAACTGAAGAGGAAGTTGGCAATCTGCTTGCACAACTCTGTCTTCCCCACTCCAGTTGGGCCAAGAAACATAAAGCTCCCTATGGGACGGTTCTCACCGCTGAGTCCTGCTCTTTGCATACGAACAGCATTCGCGACGGCTGCTAGGGCTTCATCTTGCCCACGCACATGCTCACGCAGCTTGTCTTCCATTTTGATAAGCTTCTCAACTTCTCCAGCCATGAGTTTTGTGACTGGAATGCCTGTAGTCCGGCTTACGACATTCGCGATATCGTCGGCAGTCACAGAGTCATGAATCAGGGTTTCGCCCTTTTCGGTCGTTGTGCGAACCTTTTCTCCTTCCTTCGGAAGTTGAGATTCGAGTTTTGGGATTGTGGCATATTGAAGTTCACCAGCTCGTCCAAAGTCTCCCTGTCGTCTGGCTTCGTCTAATTCGTATCGAGCTTTCTCGAGTTCTTCTTTTGTCTTTTTAATAGCCTCAATCTCGGCTCTCTCGCGGTCCCAAATCTCGGTGAGACGAGCTACCTCTTTGTTTTTGTCAGCGAGGGTCTCTTCGAGCTTCTGTCGACGTTCTTTGGATGCGACATCAGTCTCCTTGCGAAGAGATTCCAATTCGATTTGAATGGTCATGATCTCGCGATCGAGCCGCTGAATTGGATCAGGCTTGGACTCCTGTTGCAGCCTGAGTGCGGAAGCAGCTTCGTCGACAAGGTCGATGGCCTTATCGGGCAAGAATCGATCGGTTATGTAACGATTGCTGTAGGTTGCGGCGGCGACCAGAGCCCCATCGGTGATACGGACACCATGATGAACCTCGTATCGGTCCTTGATGCCTCGCAATATGGAAATCGAGTCTTGTACCGAGGGCTCGCCAACTTGAATGGGCTGAAAACGCCGAGCTAGAGCAACATCTTTTTCGATCAAGCGGTATTCGTTTAAAGTAGTAGCACCGCAACACTGCAACTCGCCTCGGGACAAGGCAGGCTTCAATAGATTGCTAGCATCTATCGAGCCTTCGGCTTTCCCAAGACCAAGAAGCGTGTGAAGCTCATCGACAAAGAGAATGACGCCTCCGTGTGCTTCTTCTACTTCCTTTAGAACTTTCTTCAGTCGTTCTTCGAAGTCACCTCTAAACTTAGCACCAGCGATCAGCTGACCAAGATCCAAGGATACGACTCTCTTGTTCTTGATGCTCTCTGGTACATCCCCTCGAACTATTCTTTGCGCCAACCCTTCGAGTATAGCGGTCTTGCCGGTCCCAGCGGCACCGATCAATACGGGGTTGTTCTTTGTCCGCCTGGAGAGGATCTGAATTGTCCGATGTATTTCACCATCTCTTCCAATCACAGGATCCAGCTTCCCATCTCGGGCACGCTGTGTAAGGTCGACACCATATTCCTCCAAGGCAAGCTTTTCCGGCTCGCCACCCAGATTCATCCGATGTGTACCGCCAGGGGGGTGTGGCCTGCCATTTGCGTAGGTCCGAACAGCATAAATAGCAGGTGTTACAGATCTTCTTGCTCTTGCCGACCTAGCAAGAAGTCCTAATGAAGGTGTCGCAGCACGTGAGAGCAAAGGGGAGGTGAACGATCGCGAATTGATGGCTCGCCGAACGAGCAGAGATTTCGAGGCGTTCATCGTTATGATTGATTTATTGTATCGTTGGAAGCGCTGTGCGCAGGCAACGAGTGCTATCGGTGATCAAGCAAGTAGGCATACATCTCAATTTTGCGACGGAACTGGAAGAGTGTGCAATAGAAATACAATGATCCGCTACCTCACAGCGGAGTTTCTGGAAGCCTCGAGATGCAGCCTCACATGTCAGTATCCCAGTAGGGATTAGGGTGCCAAGATTAAAGACTCCTTTAGGATCAGAGTTCTGCCGCTTTATCCTCGACACCCTCATCCTCTTCCTTCCCCCTTGTGCATGCCTCCAAGTTCCAACCCACTGAGTGATGGAGACGCCAAGTCCTCAGAACTATCGGATTAAAGGCTCCAAAGTGTACCTCAAGGATGTCAACCATGACGATTACGAATTATCATTTTAGCTGCATGTAAGTCTGCTAGCTTTGCGGACCTTCGAGAGCACTATGGCGTTGCCGGTGGAGCTAGTCAAATTGTACGTAAGTCTGGCGACCAAGCGTGTCAAAACCCTAGCCCTTACTGCAAGTCTCGGTGATGGCCGAGCAGCTTCATTCACGTAAGTGAAATACTTATGTCCGGATACTTGGTTTGATTTCAAACGTTCTGGCCTTTCGAAACTGGCTGCTATGCATGCTCTTGACTACTATGTCGGTCATCTCAAACCCACCAATCTCTCGAGATCGACGAAGCTGTTGACATGGGATTACTGCCATGCGATATGGCTGTGATAACCTGCATCGCCAATTGGTGCAAAGCTGCATTGCTGCTCTTTCCAAAATGCACTTAGAGCATGCCTGATGTAAGATCGATTATGATTGAGACCACTTTAGCGTGCTGAGGGTCTACCTCTAACGTCTCGACACGGCTCTTATTTGACAGTGAGGGCAGCTTGGTATAAGAACAACACCTGCTATGGGGCAATCCCATCAACCAATATTCCAGTCTTGCGTGGAATGATTTCTTTCGCAAACAGAAGAATACGTCTCAATCACCATGACACAACCAATACCCTCCATATCACCACGGAGACAACTCCTCAACCATGTCGTTGACAGACGTGCAAGGGAGAGCCCTAAGATGATCTATGCTGAATATCCCATCTCCTCTACTGGATATGACCAAGGATTTCTGAAGATCACGTACGCAGATTTAGCTAATGCCATTAACGGTCTTGCCTGGTGGCTGCACAATACCATAGGGCCGGGCAACGATTTCGAGACTCTGGCATACATTGGACCACTTGACGTCAGGTATAATGCACTACTTCTAGGTGCAGTGAAAGCAGGGTACAAGGTACTTTGAGCAAACAGTATCGATCAACAACTCATTTGCTGACATAGCGGGCTAGGTCCTGCTAACCTCACCCCGGAACAGCCTGCCAGCTCACATCAATTTATTCAATCTCCTTAAATGTCGCAAATTGGTCACACCCAACCCAAGACCGCAGGCAGTGACAACGATAGTCGCTTCTCATGAAATTGAACTTCTCGAAATTCCAACCGTAGATGAACTTCTAAGCAAAGTCTATCTCTCATACCCATACGCAAAATCCTTTGAGCAGGCCCATACGGATCCTCTCGTGGTCTTGCACACCTCTGGGACCACAGGCCTACCTAAACCGATAATCTGGACGCATGATTTTGCTGATAGCTGGCTGTACTGGGTCAGCCTGGATGGCCCCAGTGGGTATAACAACCAGCACGCTATGTGGTCGCCAGGCCGACTGTTTTTCTTGTTTCCTCCCTTCCATGTAAGATATCTCCCCACCGACCTACATTTAATTGCATCTTTTCATCAAGCTGATAGAGTCCCAGGCCGCTTCCATGTTCGGTTCAATTCTCGGAGCAATATACCGACAGACAACCGTCATTTTTCCACCTGCAGGACTAATCCCCTCTGCACAAGTTCTTGCGGATGGACTTAAACATACTACTGCAGACTGTGCTGCCATCGTGCCATTGGTAGCAGAAGAAATGTCCAACAAACCAGAGCTCCTAGACTTTATTTCCCAAAATCTCGCATCAATATTTTATTCTGGAGGCACAATCAGCCAGGCGATGGGCGATAGAATCTCAGAGAGAATGAAATTTTTCTCTATAATTGGAACAACAGAGACTGGTTTATTTCCCACCATATATCCGGCCGATCACTGGCCGACTGCGGAGTGGAGATATTTCCAGTTCAATCCAGGATACCAGTTTGAATTTCAACAAGCCTCAGAAGGAGAATATGAAGCAGTTATCGTCCGCCATCCTGAGGCTGACAAGGAACAACCTGTTTTCAAAGTTTTTCCCAACATCAAAGAGTATCGGACTGGTGATTTGTATGTGGCGCATCCCTCTAAGAGAAATCTCTGGCATTATCGTGGGAGGGGAGATGATATCATCGTCTTCCTTACTGGCGAAAAGGTATGTTTATTTCCAAATCAATAGACAAGGACCCACCAGACGCCTTTGCATAGACTTGAGCCCGTCCACTCCTATATTTCATCGCCCCTGTCCCCAAATTGCTCGAAGATGAACCTACTAACTAAAGTCTGTGAGTCATCAGACAAATCCAACCACTATGGAGCAAACCATCTCAACGCATCCGAAGGTCAAATCAGTGCTTGTGCTTGGTTCGATGAAATTCCAGGCTGCCCTCCTAGTTGAAATGGAGGAGGCCACCATCCTTACGACGCCACAACGAGCGCAAATCATCGAGGAACTATGGCCCACAATTCAAACAGCAAACGCAGATTGCCCACGTCATGCTCAGATCAAGAAATCACACATCATGTTCGTCAATCCGGCGAAGCCCATACTTCGTTCGGCGAAAGGCACAATTCAGAGACGACCCACTCTGCAGTCGTACGAGAAAGAGATCGATGAACTATACACGGATGCTGAGAAACTAGCCGTCCTGGATGTGGAAGACCTCGACATATCTGGACGGTCAATTGACTGTAAGGATTTCAAGGCCGTCGCCTCCTTCCTATCGGAGACCGTCAGCAGGTTCATGGAGTCGAGAGCGTTTGCAGAGGACGAGAACTTCTTCCTCACAGGGATGGATTCCCTACAGGCACTCCAGATGACACGTCGCTTGAAGGCTGTTCTTGCGCTACCAGATCTGGGGATTAGCACAGTCTACGCACACCCAACAATCAAATTACTCACGAATGCAATAGTAGACCTAGCCGGCCAAGACCATGCGTCAGATACATCGAAACAGCTCTCCAGGGCCGAGATGGTCGAAAAGACAATACGAGAATACACCTCCCTAGTCGACGAGATCGCACAATCTGCTGGGTCGATAGACGCACTCACCAAACGCGACTCCGGCGTGGAGCTCAATGGCGGTAGGGTAGTCCTCCTCACCGGCTCGACCGGTGCAATCGGCTGCTACCTACTGCAAGTATTGCTCTCAGATCCTTCCGTACTGCACATCTACTGCCTGAATCGATCCGAGGACTCGGAGGGCCTCCAGCAGAAACGCTCACAAGCACGCGGCCTCCCGACTAACTTCCCGACTGCACGCGTCACATTCTTACAGACCAAACTGGACAAACCGCAGCTAGGACTCGACAGCGCGATCTACGGACGCCTGAAACAAACCACCACCACCATTATCCATAACGCGTGGCCAGTGAACTTCAATCTGACGCTCCCGACCTTCGCGCCGCACCTCCAGGGCGTCGTGAACCTCCTTAAACTCTCCTCCTCCACCACCCGCCGCACACGCATCACATTCATCTCCTCCGTGAGTTCGGTCATGGGGTCCACCGAAAACCCGATCCCGGAAAGAATCCTCACCGACACTTCCGCCCCACTGCCCATGGGCTACGGCCAAAGCAAGTACATCGCGGAGAGGATCCTCGGGCACGCCGCGGCAGACAACAAGCTGCACAACACGGACGTGACAATCGTGCGGGTTGGGCAAGTCGCAGGGCCCGCCCACATGCCTGGGAGCTGGAACAAGTGGGAGTGGTTCCCGAGCCTCGTGCGCAGCAGTCTTCATCTGAAAATGATCCCCAGGTCCCTGGGCAAGGGGAGGAACAACCAAATCGACTGGGTGCCCATCGATGTCCTCGCGAACACGCTCGCAGAATATGCGCTTGTTGGAGGAGGTCCCGAGACCGCAGCTGAAGGACGAGAGTCAGGCGCGAGAGTCCTCCACCCTCAAAACGCACGTGCCACCACGTGGGACGACTTACGTCCTCAGGTCATTTCCGCGCTGGAGACGGCCGCCGCAAAGCCCATTGGAAACCCGCGGACGACCATCAGGGAAGTGCCGCTTAGCACGTGGATCGAGCACGTGCAGAAGGACGTGAGCGAGTTGAACACCGCCGCGAAGCTCGAGGCCATGCTGCAGGTGAATCCTGCGGTGAAGTTGCTGGACTTCTACCATGGCTTGCTTGTTGGAGACGAGATGTCTGCCTTGGATGGACAGAAGGCTCTGCAGGCGAGTAAGCATCTGAGAGTTCTCGATGGGATTCATGCGGATTGGGTGACCAAGTGGGTTGGCGGTTGGGTGGACGGCTACGCCTTGGTCATTTGACTGACACAGTACGCCCGAAGAGTTTTGGTTTCCATTGTACGTAGGAGCTTCTTCGCTTCCGATTGATGCGTCATTATTAAATTCATTGCTTAGCATGGTTCGTCGACAGCAGTGACAGTATGTTGAGGGAAACATCACAAGAGTCAAACCATAGAACGCTGGTACAGCCTCGACATTATACATTCCTCTTTTCGGCGTGATTGATTTTTACATAGCGATCTATACTCTGTATCGCAATGATTAGCACCTTGTCCAGCTATCAAGGCTTGGTCTTAGGCAGGGCGATGTTTTCCACTTCCGCAACTTCCTTCGCTTGTTTCGCAGCAAAGCCGACATCATCAAGGTGTGAGAAATCCGCGGCTCCAAAAAGCTCGTCCATGCGCTCAAGTGAAATCTATTAACGATATCGAAATGGTCAGTCAATGACACTATAAGAGAGAGGAAAAGAGAGTGAAAATGAGGCTCTGCACTATGCAGGAAGGGGAATTACAAGCAAAGACTCACCCCTTTTGTTTCGGGAAGGAAATATGCCGCAAGACCCATCAAGAGATTGATGGAGCCGAAGATAAAATACGCGCCGTAGGGAGTCGCCAGCAACATCACGGGTGTGGCCTTGGACACAGCGAGATTATGCGCCCAGTGAGTTAAAGAGGCCAGAGCGACGTTGTATGCCCTTAATCGGTTGGTTGGGATTTCTGAAACAAAAATCCAGCTTACAGGGCCCCATCCCATGTTAAATGCTGCAGCGAAGACATATACCATGGCCAAGGCAGCGATCCCTGCCGGGGGAGGGTGGTCTGCTTTGCCAACGTTCGGGGTAAATCGAACATACTTTGGGACAAAGTTAGAACTCCAGAGCAGGAGAAATGGTGAATAGCAGGAGCAGACTAGATTGCAGAATATGGAGATTGAGTGGTTGAAGGTACTCACAAATCCGAGGTAGAACATGCAGCAGCCCTGCACGATACCAGACCACATGAACGATATGCGCCTGCCCAGCGAGTCTGCCATGAAGAGGATAAATATGCCACAGCTAACAACTTTGACGATCCCGTACACACCCGTCGCGAAGAGTCCAGTGGTAGTGCTCGAAAGACCTAAGCCTTTGAAAATTGTAGGTGCGTAGTAGTTGATGGCACCGGTCTGATGAAGAAGATTCAATGAGCTGCACGCTGGCGGACGGGGGAGGATGACTAACACCAGACCACTGTTGACATGTAATGAGGCCAACCGTCAACAGAGCACGTTTGCGATTAGCAGCAATCGTCCAGCACTCTTTTTGTAACGACCAAAATCCCGTATCTCGAACCCAGCTTCTTTCCAGCTCTAGCTGAGTGCGCAGTTCGAGCAACTCCTGCTGAAGATAAGGATGTTCCATGGGGAGATGACGGACTTCTGATAAGATGCTGCTCGCCTTCTCCCAGTTGTCCTTTGAAGCCAGCCACCGCGGGCTTTCTGGGCAAAAGAGCATGCTTACGAACAGGAGGAAAGGGCAGATTGACTGGCACCCAAGAGGAACCATCCAACTTGCTTTTCCCTGGGGGAAGTTCAACATTAGACATCGGGTTTCGAGGATTAGGACGAATCCGACCTACCGAGAGGTGAAGTAGAGCACCATAGTTAATGAAGTAGGCCATCATGCTACCCACCACCAGCAAAAGTTGGAAGAAACCAACCAGAAAGCCACGAATTGCACGGGGTGAATTCTCAGAGACATATGTTGGTGCCAACATAGTACCACCACCAAGGCCAATACCTTCAACAAATCTGGAACGAGAGCTGTCAGCTCTGATTGCATCACACCCCCATTGCGGTCTCCAGAAAGAACTGTATTTTACCTTCCAATATAAAAGCAAGGATAATTGCCATAAGAGAAGGCTTGCATTAGACCTCCAACAAAGGCAAGGACTGCCACGATTAATAACGCGGGTTTCCTGCCCTTCCAATCTGCAAATGGACTCGAGATCAAGGCTCCTGCAACAGCACCTGCTTGCATTGTAGTGACGAGATTGCCAGAAAGGTTAGCTACTGCACTGGCTGGGCGGCTGTCAAGTCCAAACTCCCTGTGGAAGCCAGAATTAGAATTTTGTTCTCAAATTCGCATGTCTTCATCCCGAAAGAGTCGTAGATACTGAGGGTGAATTTGACACACCTCTTAAAGTCTGGCATTGGGAGGACGCCGCCGATAATACCTGCATCAACTCCGAACAATGCTCCAGCGAAGCATGCTGAGGCTGCTAATGCAAGTACTCTCAAATTGTATATCTCTGGTGGGTCGACTCGTATGGCGTCGTTGCGCACGATGAGGCGTAGGAAAGAGTATACCGTCATACTTGCTGTCTGTCCAAAACAGACACCTGAACACAGAAGTCCTTCTTGAAAGCACAGCGCAGGATAGGTCGGAAAGCTTTCACCAATAGAGAGAATCAGCAGGTGCAATGAACCCAGCAGCAATGTAGAAGGGCATAGCTTTATAGATGTTGGTGCCGTCAGAACACAATTGTTTTCTAGAATTTGAAGCCTCGAGGTTGAATCCCAATCCCAAGTCCTGGGCCGGCTCCATCAAAATCTGGGGTTGAGAGTTGTTGGGGAGTGTCGGCAAGCGGCCATGCATGACATTCTCCAGAAATCCAGGACAAATCAAGCGTGGGAGCATCCTTGGCAGATCCCGCCATCGGGGAGTGTCGCGGAGTTCGTCTCTCGCATCAACCAGGCTTACTAGCGACCCAACTTAAAAGTTCCACTTAAGCAGACGTTGTAAGAGTAATTGATTGCGGTCTGCCTTACGGAGCGTCCTTTGGGGACAAGTGAGATTCGTCCCAGATCTGCTCTAGTTCTGCCCCCAATGGATGTGTCGGCCATCCACACCTCTGTCGACATAAGTCTAGCATATCAAGAATGGATTTTCTTTGTTGACTATCACGTGTGAACATGCCAGCTAAATTATGTGAAATCAGCATTTCAATACGCACTAGAGATTTGTGCTTACCGATGAAAAGACACTGCGACGATACAAGACTTGACGCATCATCGGTCAAGGTCATTCCTATACCACAAACAACCTCGATGCTCCGCTGAATAGTCTTCTGACGTTGCTTGAAAAATTCGATGCCCCCGTTACTAGGCTCGTGGACGAGTATCATGATTTGAGAAACATGATGAATCTGCATGGCAAGCCCTTTTCACGAAATCAGCGCCTCCATCTGCCAGTTATGGGAGAGCCATTACCAAAACAGGGAGGATGTATCAGAAGAGGTTGGAACCCCTCAGACCCCGGACGATTTCGGGCTGGGAGCGGCGAGAACGCAGTTGTCAGATGAGATCGCCACTCATGAAGCATATTTCGGAGAACTCTCGCCGTCTCAAATTGGCTCGAGATAGCGGATTGGGATTCTGTGTCGGATTCACGAGCGCAAAAATTGATAACTTGAGCTAGAATCCATACAGCCCGAGAGGCAACTTCATACGCCGTGAGTTCTGAGTATGATTTCTTGGGAGTCCAGGTTGTATATGTTCTCCTCTTCTCACGGAAGGCAGCCCATATATCTTGGCGCAGCCACGCCCACCAGGTGGTACTCTCTAACCCGGATATTTCTACATTGATCTGTCGAGATCGCAGAATCCAAAACACGCCTTGAAGATGCCGCTCCCAATCTTTGCGAGATTCACGCAACATCTCATACGTGGAAACAATGAGAGTTGTCGCCATCAATTCATGGCTAGTTTGGTAAGTTGAATAGCGCATGGCTTTCTGAACGTAATGCAGAGTCTGGTAGTAGTATTGCAGTGCAGTGTTTGGGCTGGGCCGCTCATCGATACTAGAATTTTGGACAAGGGAGAGGTGGTAGCACGACAATGCTAAGATAGCATTCATCAACCCCGCGTTCCGGATCGCAAGATGCGGAACGCTGGTTGAAAACGTGCAGGCTGGATCAAAAAGGTCGAGCTATCAGACTAGAGCATTAACTTAAACGCCCAGAACAGACAACGAGACGGAAGATGCGTACCCACGGACAGATTCGGCGCAAGAAATTTTCGAAGAACATTTGTTCTGATGGCAGGAGTGAAATGCCCTCTGATGCCTGCCATAGTGCTTCCTCTGTTTGTTGTGTTGGAGGTCCGTTGTCCAAGAGGGGTTTCGATCTATCGGACAGGTTATCACGAGGTGTGCGCTGTTTGTCCACGATCCTCGTTGCCATTTGTAATGGAGTGATGTTGTCCTCGTCCGAGATGGCAGAGACTTCGAGAGATGTACCATCAAAGGCGAACTGGAGCTCTGCATCTTGAAGAATTTCGGAAGGAGCATCATTCGCTAGTAAGCCGAACCATCTCACGGCAGGAGCACATCCAGATGCTGCAGGGGTGGTTGAGGCAGAGTCTGGCTGCCGCTGGTTTGTGTAGGTGTCCGACGACAGTGGTGCGGCGTTGTGATCCTGTTGCTCATCAAGCCTGTGGGAAGTCGGTGAGTACAATGTTGGATTCGTGCTCCATTCTAAACCACCGGCGCCCTGACTCTGGTCAAATATAGCCTGATGAACATGGCCTGAAGTAAATGAAGCCACATCTGAGGCCACGTGAGGTGTCTGGACGGTGCTGAAAGAGCGAACAATCTGCAATAAATCCTCCTGAGAAGTAGCAATCTGGCCCAGTTGCCGAAGGATCTCTAAGCTAGCAGCGTCGAAAGAAGAATGGTCTTTCTCGGTGTCGTCAAAAGAGCACCGGACGCCAATGGAGGCACAGAAGCCACAGGTAGGCTGGACGTTGTCACACTTCGTCTTTCTTGCTCGACATACATGGCAGGCCTTCAGAGCCCTCTTTCGTGGGTATCGACGGTCAGTGCCCGATTCACGGGCACGTTTCCGAGTTGCATCAAATTCGTGGTCTCTAGCAGGGGATGCATCGTCCTCTAGCCCACTACCTGCGTCGTCTTGCTCACGCATAGTTCCTTCCGTCTAAGATGTGGATGCGTTACGATGGAAGAACAGAATCAAAGAATGTGTATCCGCTGTGAAGTGAGGTGTATTTCCAGCTAGAACAAGCCCGAGGCATCATTTCATGAATCATGTTACTTATTCAGTGACTTGAGATAGAAGGGAGCAATCCGCCCGTGTGGATTTCGCAGCCCCCAACGTTGAAGTCCTTGGTGGCAGTAAGGAGGATGGGAGGTTGTGTCCTGGAGTTATGTGGTAAGCAGGTTAGCTAACCCAAGCAGGTTACATTACTGTAGGGACGAACCACATTGCAATTCGTCCTACTAAGCCTTCTCTAAAGTGTTGCCTAAGTGGCTAATGAAAGTCCATTGAAGTGCACCCAGGTGCGGGGCCTGGTGAGCCAAGGGGACTATGCAGGCGTGGACGACTGTTACGGAGAACATGGTATGTCATTTTCATGCGAAATAAAGATTTCGGGCACCGGAGAGTCTGACCTTGTTGTCGTCAGCCTCATTGTTATTTCGCATCTCCATGGGCTTGCAAAATGATAGCTAAGTGGCAGGCCCACAGGCAAGTCAGCTCTTAATGTGAATTGCCGAGATTCCCCGAACCCAGCAAGCCACAACTGCAGATATGACAGCAGGCCAGCGTGGGGGATGTGAGCTTTACATACCTACAGGAGTAAAGACGTCACCTAGTTAGAGATTTAGTTTATGGGCGATTTTATTTAGAATATACCGCTCTAGGATAAGATGGGGAGTATCGGCAAGCAACAACCGCAAATGCAATTCGTGCATGCGTTCTTGGTCAAAACATGTTGAATATAATGCTCCCAAGCAACGAATGCGCAGTCGACCGGGTAGACTACTCACTCGTCAAGTCTCGAGAAGGCATACAGAAGTGTGCTCAACTATCATCCCGGAAGAAGTTCATGTGTCAAGACAATATGGGTGACCCTGGAGATATGTACTCCGAATTAGCACCACACCTCGCCCAGGTGAGCGGAAAACATTCAATCAACACAAGGATCCACAGATGTTTGATGGCGCAAGCCTTCACAACAGATGTTCTCGTGGCTGGCGGCGGCCTAGGTGGTGTTGCTGCAGCACTTGGGGCTCTACGCAGAGGTCGTCGTGTGTTCCTAACAGAAGAGTTCGAGTGGCTAGGAGGACAGTTGACTAGTCAAGCCGTCCCTCCTGATGAGCATGCTTGGGTCGAGCAATTTGGTATCACCCGCTCTTACCGGGCACTGCGTGACGGAATTCGGCAATATTACCGTGACCATTATCCCCTGACGAATGAGGCATATCGAAGACCCGAATTCAATCCTGGAGCTGGACATGTCAGCAAACTATGTCACGAGCCTCGCGTTGCTGTGGCCGTCATTGACGCGATGCTACTGCCATTCATAGGGAGCAGGCAATTGGTGATTGCCAAAGGGACAAAACCGATTTTGGCCCAGATGGATGGTCTGCACGTTCGCTCGGTGAAGTTCCGGAAGATAGATTCGGGCGCAACATTCACAGTTCACGCAGACTATGTCATTGATGCGACAGAACTCGGTGACCTGTTGCCGTTGACCGGCACGGCTTATGTTACAGGCTTCGAATCCCGCAACGATACTGGGGAGCCCAGTGCACCCGAAGTGGCACAGCCTGATAACCAGCAAGCGGTCTCCATTTGCTTCGCAGTTGACCATATCGATGGAGAAGACCACACAATTCCCAAGCCGGAAGAGTATGACTATTGGCGCAAGTGCAATCCCGCATTCTGGGGTGCCCCGTTGCTCAGTCTCAGCGCACCACATCCACGAACACTCGAGACCGTGGAACGTCAATTCACCCCCAACCCCAAGGACGATCCAGCACTCGTCCAGGCAAATCAGCGCAAGTCAGGAGGGGATATGAATCTCTGGACATTCCGTCGAATTGCAGCCCAGGACAATTTCCGACCCGGTGCGTATCAGTCAGATATATGCCTCGTAAATTGGCCGATGATTGATTACTTCGAAAGGCCAATCATTGACATTTCAGAACGCGAATATGAAGATCGTCTCGATGCTGCAGCTTCGTTATCGTACAGCATGCTCTACTATCTTCAGACTGAATGTCCTCGAGCTGATGGAGAAGGGCGAGGCTATCCAGGCTTACGTCTCCGCGGAGACGTGACTGGTACCGAACACGGCCTGGCAATGGCCCCATACATTCGTGAATCCCGCCGTATCAAGGCTCTCACAACAATTGTGGAGCAGGACCTCTCACTAGAAGTTCGAGGCCAAGCGGGAGCAAAGCACTATCCTGATAGTGTGGGCGTTGGCATGTATCGTATTGACCTCCATCCATCCACTGGTGGTGACAATTACATCGATGTCGCCTGCTGTCCATTTGAGATCCCTCTGGGCGCTTTAATACCACCGGACCGTCCTAACCTCCTTGCTGGGTGCAAGAATATAGGCACCACGCATATCACGAATGGTTGCTATCGGTTGCACCCCGTTGAGTGGAATATTGGCGAAGTTGCGGGCTGTCTTGCCGCACACTGTCTCGATACCGGTCTCTCGGCACAACAGGTGCAAGGGGCGAGGGATCTTTTTGAGACATTCCACAATGTGTTGGAAAAGGAAGGCATTGAGACTTCCTGGCCCGACGTTCAAGGTTATTAGAATAGAGTAGATCAGCGAGGCCAATTTAGTCCATGCAGTCTTGTGTTCTTTGGACTTGCCTACAGCCTTGGAGGCAACATACTCCTATGATCTGTAGATGACTCCCGCGCATACCTTCTTTCAAGACTTCGTAGAAGTACTATAACAGAATCCGCCAAGACCGAGTCTACAAACGCTCGCTGCTTCATGGTGGTCTCGGCGTCCCCGAACAAACGACTATTTATCTCGCTAGCCAAGATCACAAGGGCCTCTCGTTCAACAAACGTCAAGAAATCCTGGACAGGCCCGGAGTACACACTGTCAATTTACGGGTCCGGGTACCGATAATGGAAACAGAACTGCGTAGATATCGCACCACGCATCAAGGCGGCTTTTGCCAAGCTCACACCTCTTGATTGCAATCACTTGATCTGGAGCCATCTTCTCCACAAAGGGCGATGGGTTAGCCAGACACGATCGCTGCACGATTTGCAGCGAAAGTTGCTTCACAGAGGGGAATGAAGAGAAGCAGCTGGAACAGTAGTGTTCTGGACGACGATGAACACGATAGAGGTGCTGTTTCAGTCGATTTATATCCCGCAGGTAACAGGTGGTGCAGCCATGATAATTTCTTTCAGTGAGGTTGCGTTCGGAATATCGTCGGGGATTGAACTTGGTGTATGGGCATGCAAGAAGCCTAGAATCTTCATCTAGCAGAGAGTTCTGAGCGTGTTCTGGCTTCTTCCTACGACTCCAGCCCTCATCTTCTTCATCAGAGCTCCACATTTCCTGCTTCGGCCCTGACTTAGCAATGTCGAGCAGCATTTGAGGTTGGAGCTGTGGTAGGAGGCTTTTTTCTTTTTGGCGCGAGGTGCTACCAGAGGAGCTAGATTTCGCAGAGCTCCCTTCGGCCTCAGATACAGCATGAGTTTGTTGGAGAAGAAACCGATCCACGAACTCATCGGCAAGCCTGGCTAGGAGGTTTGCGAACTCTGGTGATTTATCCTGATCCACAGCCGACAGCGGCTCTTCCCCCAGTATTAAAGACGCCTCTCCCTTAGATGCAGGAGATGCTGAGTCAGTCAAGATCGAGCGTGGTATTGTCAGCTAGTCAGGGCTTGAAGAAACTGATTTATCAGGGCAGGTATCTATGTTCTCAAGCCATGAAGGAACATTACTGGCGGCCGAGTCCCTATGAGGCTGTCTGGTCAGGTCTTCCGTAACTGAATGTTCATCTAGCTTAGTAGTTGGTTGCGTGTTAGACTTATCGATGGGTACAGCTACCCTTGAACTTTCTAGGTTTCTGACCCTCAGGATAGTATCGCTCACTCTCGATTGTAGCTCCTGTTTCGTGTAATGAGACCATCTCTAGGCTGCATTAGTTATCTAGAAAGATCTGTTGTTTTGTGTTGCATACTGGGGTTTTCAAGGGAGATAGCTTAAGGGGCGTGCCTTGTGGCTGCACTCGTGTACCTTTATTAAATCGATTTAAGATCACAATTTTCTCACGTCCCCAATTAGCACTATGTCTAATGTGGGAAATGAGTTCGAAGATGTCTTGTGGGAGTGTTGGTGTCGGAAATTGATGAAATCTCTGGAAAATAACACCAAGGGGATCGGTGCGTAGAAATAGTAGAACAGGCCAGAAATGGTCATACGTGTAGAGGTAATCGTGGATTATATCTTGGTAATAATCAAAATTTGGATTCTCTGTTAGTCGCTTGAGATGAAGCTGGTTAACTGGGACGGGTGGTACAGGCCTGGTGGGAGGCTATATTATTTGAAGCTTAGTTGCAACTTCTTCGACTAGGTGGTTTACATCCGCTTGATGAAGATCTTGTTGAAGCGAAGGCCAACCTGCCCGTTCTATATTATTCGGGAGTGCAGATTACGTGGTCGATGTTCTCGTCGGGAATGTCACAGCTGAAGCCAGCAACGCGCCTTCAGGCTTGGAGGTGGTACTGAAAATCAATTCGCCAGAATCTGTCTTGAAAAGGCCACCGGTAGCCTCTAGTACTTTCTGCTTCCTACGTTGATCTTCTTTCGCTCGTCGGTTGTGGAACCGGTTCTGATCGCTAAGTTAGTAGAACGTTTTAAATCTTACGTAGCGGTGCTCACATAATGGCAAACGAGGGTTTTTGGCTAGCTCCATCTCAACCGGATAGAATTTGTAAGGCTGGGAGATGCGTCTTGAAACCCCGAGAATGCAGATACAAGTCAGGAGATATCATGACATTCGAGTCCTGGGAAATTTTTTCAAGTTCGGGGCCTGGGAAGGGAGAATTTCCAAATTATGAGGTTCGGCCAAGATGGGAGTTGACCATGCAAGCCCTCGCTTTCAATGAGCTAGCCCATTCCTAGACAGGGAGTACACACCATTATGCAAACCGAACCTGAGAGATGTGGCGCTTCTGTCTGCATTCTGTGGAGCGACATTTCCCCCTTTCACATCGGGACGTTGTCTGTCCCATGATGCATGGAAAGATCTTTCAACACCGTGGGGGATATCTAGATCTTTCTGAGCTCAAAGAGTCCCGATGCTCAGTCACTATTGGATTGTTAGCAACGAGGCTGGGATTTTCACCAGTACTATCTGCGAGTTTTGGGATGCCTTGGGGAAGTGGTCCTGACCTATTATGTAAAAGCGGCGAGGCCAAAAGGTGGAAAACGTGGTCTTGGCATCGGCGTGCATCTTTTTTCGAATTTGGACTGAATGAGTCTGAACATTTTGCCTGCGACCACCACCACATCTGCAATTCCGCATTGAGCTTTTCAACAAGACAACACTTGAAAGCACACTGCAAAAATCAGCAACCATGGGTTTCACCGACTTTGTTTCCGATAGTGGCCTCCTCCGTATGTTTTTCGGTGCTAGAACCTTCGGTTAACTATCCCTACTAACATTGTGCAGTCTTGAACAACTGGCTCAGGACTCGCTCATACATCGCTGGGTAAGTTGTATCTGTCTAATGCATCTGCTTTTACCCCGTGTTTTAAAGATGAGAAAAAGTTGGTCCGTGTTGATGAGGCGGCTTAAGACACCGCAAAATGACTACTTCCAATCGCAATTTACTTGCACCACTGAATTTCCTGTTTTTGAGCAATCGTTTACCTTCTGCCTGTGACTCTGGGGTGGACATAAATAACTAACAGCCAATCGTTTAGCTTTACCCCATCGCAGGCCGATGTTGTGAGCTTCAAGGCTCTAAAAGAAGCCCCAAAGGTCGAGCAGTACCCCAATGCCTACCGCTGGTACAACCACGTTAAGTCCTATGAGGCTGACTTCTCCACACTACCCGGCGACCCATCCAAGCCATTCACCACTTATGGGCCTGATGCCCTCGCAGTGACACAGAACCCCAAGGACGCCCCTGCGGCCGAGGAGGAGGACGACGAGGTTGACCTGTTTGGATCTGACGACGAAGAGGAAGACCCAGAGGTTGTTGCTGAGCGCGAGAAGAGACTGGCAGATTACAAGAAGAAGAAGGAGGGCAAGGCCAAGCCTGCTGCGAAATCCATCGTCATACTTGATGTCAAGCCTTGGGATGACGAGACAGACATGAACCAGCTTACGCAGAATGTCCTGGCCATTCAACAGGATGGTCTCACTTGGGGTGGTCACAAGCTGGTTGCCGTCGGTTTCGGTATCAAGAAATTGGAGGTCAACTTGGTCATTGAGGATGAAAAAGTCTCCCTGGATGAGCTCCAGCAAAAGATCGAGGAAGACGAAGACCACGTCCAATCAACCGACGTTGTCGCCATGCAAAAGCTGTAAAGAGCGGCTGTCTTCTGAGGTACAGTCACAGTCATAGCAACCCACCTGCAGAGAAAAGCCGGTCCTGGTTTGTGAATATTGCCCACAGCCTCGCGATGGGATATCGAGATTGGGGCAAGTTCGACAACACAACAAATCCCAGGCCTGTTTCTAGACACTTGCGATATGCCTTTTCATGATAGACGAGATGAGACGAGATGACAGATGCAACTACTGCACAATATGAGACGATCACTCTCAAATCCCGTTCGAGAGAAATAAGAAGCACAATCGCAGCCATCCCAAAACGGCCGTCTGCAGGTTTTAGTAACCAAATTTAGTAGCTATGTATCTCTCCCTCTCGCGAAATGTCGACATGTTGTGCTTACTCATCGACACCTTGTCTTTTGTGACATTTTCGGTATGCAAAGTTCGGATACAAGGCTGAGTCAACCTGGGTTTGAATTTCTGTCGGCGTCATGATTTTGTGGCCAAATAGATGGGCTCCAGATTGCTTACACGCCCGTGTGACGGTATCGCTATCAAAGCGTCGATATGTAAGATAAGGACTTAGCCCTGTACCGAGAACCCCGTACACCTCTATTTTGCTAAGAGATATTTTTATTTTGCCAACACTTAGCACTACGGGCAAGTGGTACCTTTCCCTATTGAGGATAGATATATTAGTGCAGCACTAAGGCTAGCAATAAGTGAGTAATAGTACTAAGTAGGTTCAAACTCTACTGAGGACTTAGCCCTAATAGAGCGAGTAAGTGAGGCGTAGTAGGAGCTATAGGGGTAGCTAGAGGAGTAGTAGACTAGTAGTATAAGTGGAAGAAGCCTAAAGAGACTCCAGAAGTAGACCTAGGAGGTATTCCAGACAGGCCTAAAGTATTAATGTCGGTAGTCCTTTATTATATACATTACTTTATTATAATCTACTATTTAGTGAGGTATTTTGGTATAGACGCACGCTAAATTTAGTAGCTCCACGCTAATAGTATACTAGTCCAAATGTGCAAAGGGATCGCTTGGCTTAGTGCCAAGTTTTGGCAAAATAAAAAATCTTGTTGGGAAAATAGAGGTTGTCCGCATATACCTGTGAGCCATAGTCTTATTATCTGAGACATGCTTTGGCTCGCGGAACCTATCAGCCAACCGCATCCTCCTGGATCATCCGGCTGGTCATTCTAAGCAGTAGTCGTTCCTTCTATCCTTTGGCTCTACCTGCTCCCCTACTACTACTGTAATTATCCAACTTCTCGTGCCTAATCTACATACCAATGAACTCCGAGTCTTTTCTCTCTCTTCATCTCCCTCGTACCCGTGTCTCGTGGGATGAAAGCCGCCAAGTGATAAGTTGTTGTCTACCGAGTCTTACGCAGACCAAAGCAAGGGCTGAAATCAGCCAGCCACGTGGCGCGTGTGACAGACACACAGACTGCATTTACTCTCCTAGGCTCGCGACGCCCAGCGTTTCTCATCATTAATTGACCACGCAAGCAATCAACTCTCCTGGTGGCAAGTCCGGGTGGAGAACAACACGGGTTGATAGTGATCCACGATTGAGCCGGGCGATCGCTTGGGGCGGAACTTCCATTATTGTTCTGTGTTGGCCGGCTTCTCACTTCTACAAATCAGCCTTTCAAAACCCGCTCCATGCAAGGTCGATTACAGACAACTTTAACTAGGCAAACCATTGGTTGTTATAGACTCGATAAAGCAGATCGATCATCTTTCGTAAGCTGAGATCTCACAGTCTGGCAACTATCAGGGCAGGAAGAGATCGCCACCCCCTGGCTTCGTCGCAATTCTTCAACCTACCAAAACTCAGATAGCTTTCATCATCGACCTCTATCTCCAAAAGCACATCAACAAAAATGGCATCGGCACCGACGCCGACGCCAAAATTTAAAATTGACCCTCCGCTACTAAACGCAGCAAGCCCTTGGTCAACAACACTCGAGGACATCAAAACGCTCTACGACACACCGTACACAGGGGCAGTAACAATCCGGACCAGTCTACTGGAAGGCTTCAGCCACGACGATGCGGTGCATCAACACGTCTTCTTCTCATCCGCGAAGACGACCATCCCCACGGGCACAAAGCTAGGGGACGAGAGCGCCAAAGCAGAAGAATCACCCTCAGCCACAGCACTCAGCACCCTAAACACACAAGGCTACTCACCACTAACCCTCTCCGAATACCTAGGCATCATCAACGAAATCGTGGGGCAGCGCCACCTTGGAACAGACACACCCACCAAGAAACCATTCATTCTGTCCGTGACTGGCACACCCGACGAGATCGCGATGGCGTACGCGCTGATCGCGAACGCGGCGGAGATGGACGAGGACCTGCGGCTCGCCATGGAGGTGAACCTGTCGTGTCCGAACATCGCGGGCGCGCCGCCGCCGGCGTACGACGCGGCGCAGCTGGCCGAGTACCTCGAGGCCATCGGCGACAGCAAGAGCACGTACCGCGGGCGCATGGCGACGCCGGAGTCGGAGCCACGCGTCGGGATCAAGCTGCCGCCGTATACGTACGCGGGCCAGTTCGCCATGGTGGTCGATGCGCTGCGCGCGGCACGGTCGAGTGAGCCGGGCGAAGGCAGCGTGATTGATTTCGTCACAGCCACGAACACGCTGGGGTCGTCGCTGCTGCTTGATTCTGAGAATAAGCCGGTTCTAAACAGTGAGGCCGGTACGGGCATCGGTGGCCTCGCCGGCGCCGCGCTGCATCCTTTGGCTCTGGGGAATGTCGCGCAATTGAAGACGCTTTTGGATGCGCATCCGGAGACGAAGGGTGTCGTCATCATTGGGGTGGGCGGTGTCGAGGATAACGCAGGCTATGAGCGGATGAGGAAGGTGGGCGCCGTTGCGGTCGGTGTCGCTAGTGCGCTGGGGAGGTATGGAGTGGGCATCTTTGAGAAGATCACGAAAGAAGCGTAAGAGCTGGTCCTGGAAATCGGGAACACCTCACAGGACTGCGGGCACATTATTAGGTACCTATATGGATCAGAGAACTTGAATCAACAACGACGACGAAGCCAAAGATCGGACCGAGAGTAAGAAAATAGAAACTTTTATTCAATACAACGCTAAATGAAATTACAGCTCTTCTGTGCCTTTGGCACTCACGCCATTCTCTAACTAGTTGTAGCATTTGCAGCTACCCCATGCCTCCTTTACTCAAATGCTGTCAAACAGCTATCATATTACCAATGACGTATCGATCGACCGACCGACCGTACAGCTCTTGCTCTTGCTCATCCATTACAACGCATATGGATTCATGGATCGAATAGTCAAGCATCTGAGACAATTGTCAGCAAATTAGTCACACCGATAACTAGGAATGTCGGAACTTACGGAGGACTCTTGGTCAAATCCGTCTTGAGGATGACCGGTACTCTTGTCATTTCGGTGACGTCTTGAATATACTCCCCACCTTCTTCTCTCAGTTTGAAGTAGCTGCGGTACTTCTCCTTGTCTGTCAATTGGTTTTCTGGGATGTCACTGCCAGACTTTGCAATACGAGAGTCGGATTGAGTCCGTGTTGGTCCGTTGGACGACAAGCCATTTCGGGTTGGCGATGGCGGCATGCTTTGAGTTGAGCGATCCACCGGAGAATTGAGCGAAACACCTGCTGCCATCTCGGTAATCTCAGAAGCACTGTCATCGTCGTATAAAGCATCCACATCATCAGTGGAGATGGTGTTGCTATCAACATTCTTCCTCTGAGCTTCATAGCGCTCCTTTGCACGCTCCTTGGCATTCTCGGAATCACGTGTGTTGTTGTTGCTGCCTCTGGTGCTGGCCGAACCACGAGGGCGTTCATCTTCTGGAACGTATGCCGACGATGGGACACCCTTCTCCCAGTAAAGCTCAAGAACTCTTTCCTCCTTGCGAAATTCGGCCTTCTTAAGAGGTAGCTGATCGCAATGAACACGCTTTTCGAAGCCATATTCAGGAATAAGCACATCGAATGCAGATTCGTAGACACAGATGATGATGCCTTCACTGACAAGGTCGCCACCCAACTCCTTGCTCTTCTTATCCATCAGTCGACAGGACTCAATGTGAACACTTTGTTCCTGGGCCGCATGGGCCGAGTCTTTCTTGTTGTTGCATTGTTCGGAAGTCTTGGCCAGAGACTCGAGATCTTCACTAAATTCGATTGCGCCATCAGAAAGAGCGGCTTCCAATTGTCGATGAACCACAATATCAGAGTAACGGCGGGTGGGGTTTGTGAAATGGCAATAAATCGGCAGATTCAAAGCGTAATGTTGACGTTGCTCTTCGGTCAGCTGGTTACCAATGTAGTACTTGGCGCGTTGCAAAGTCTTCACCAACAGAGTCTCCATGCCTTTGCGGTAATCAGGATCCTCAACCTTGAAGAGGCTATCTTGCAAAGTTCCACTGCTACTGGTGTCAATCTCGTAGCCAGCCCGGGTCATTCGGTCTGCGAATGTTAGAAGGCGTCTTGGATTTGGAGAAGCCTGGCGGCGGAGGAAGGCTTTGTCAGGCATCGCAGCGAAAATCTTTTGGGCGACCAAAAAGTTGGCTTTGCAGCTGATCTCTTCAATGATCTCATGCGCGGCGGATGTATTGAAGATATTGTGTTCGACGGGAACGTTCTCATCATCAAGCTGATAAAGCAAACGAAGAGGTTCAATGTTTGCGGATCGGTGGCCGAATCGAGCTTCCCTAAATTTGTTGGCAATAGTGTATAGGGTCTTGATATCGTCGATTGTAGCACCGTGCAGATCAACATTGCCATCACCCTTAACAACGGCATCGACCTCATCATAGGCCAATTTACCAGAGCTTTGAATGATTGTCTTTCCGATCCAAGGCTCGCCTTCCACCTTTCCAGTCTTGATGTCGACCTTGAGGATGACACTGACGGTCAATCGACCCTCTCCTGGAGCGAGTGAACAGACTCCAGAAGACAATTTGGCCGGTAGCATGTTGACAGCACGAGTCATGAGGTAAACCCCAGTGCCTCGTTTCTTAGCCTCTCTATCGACGAGAGAATTGGTCTTGACGAAATGTGCAATGTCCGTTACGTGGACACCAAGCTCAACGGTTCCGTCGCCGAGGTTCTTGACATGAATGGCGTCATCAAGCTCGTTGGTACCATTGGGATCGATTGTGAAAGTGCGCTCGCCACGAAGATCACGACGGGTAGCCAGACTTTCCTCGGACTCGGTCTTCAGGGACCAGTCATCCCAACCGACACTCTTGTGAACAGCATCAGAGAACTCGTCGGATCCAAAGTTGTTGTCTCGGAGAAGTGCATCGGTCTCAACACGCAGGTCACCCATCTCTCCGAGTTGCTCAACCAGAGTTCCGAATGGATGCAGCGAGGTGATCGGCCAGCGCTTGATGCAAGCAACGAAGATCCTGTTTGCGTAGTCTTGATGCTTCTCGACAAAGTCTCGAGGAGCTTGCTCTGTAGGAATGGCAATGAGAGGAACACGCTTGTCGGTTGGCTTGAACCAAACAATCTTTGGCTTGTCTTGTGGACGAGACTCAGATCGTCCATGACCTCCTCCATCACGGGCGTGCCGCTCGGCTTCCTGCTTCTCCTTTGTAGCTTGACTGCTTGGTCGCAGGAGGCCAAGGGTACCAGAAAACATTTGGCCTGCCACACGTTCGATGACGGCAACAACGTGACCAGCGTAGAGTGGCTTCTGTTCATCACTGATCTCTTCCTCTTCCATCAACAGGAGGCTCTGGCCCTCGACCTCAACATCATCGTTCTTCTTTTGCGTTGGTCGTTGACGTAAACTTCCACGTCGACGGATGCTACCATCTGGTGCGATGGATTGGTTTTCGGTGGATGAGGAAGTATCGTTCTTGCCATTCTGAGTATTGCCGGAAGAGCGAGTATCTGTTATATCCTTGCGCTTCTTCTTTTCTTCCTTTTCACGCTTCTGGCCCCAGACTTCATCTACGTCCAATAATTCGATTGCGACTAGATCACCCTCGAGAGCTCGATTCCGATCCTTGCTACCGCAAATGAAAATATCCGCATCGAGATCACTGGTAGTAACATATGCATCCGACCTATTCTTCTTGTTGACACGAAGAATACCTGCCACCAGTTGACCGTCGTTCAAAAGGGCAGGCAATGTTGCTTGAGGTAGATAAGGTGTAAACAAGGTCTTTCTCTGCTGTTGTGACTGTTGCATGCCTAGCTGCGGAGCATGCTGGCTAGCCTGAAGTCCTCCAAGCTGGGCACCCTGCATGGCTTGGAGTTGTGCTATTTGAAGAGCGTTCAATTGCTGACCAGCGAACATTTGAGGCATTATCATTCCTCCCTGCCCCATTTGCATCATTTGTGGCTGGCCGGGATACTGGAAGCCGCTCATGGAGCCGACAGACTGATTGATTGAGCCCCTGCCAGCTCTATGGCCTGGTTGGAAGCCGGCCCCACCAACGCCTGCAGGTTGGCTGAATTGTCCCATCTGTTGTTGTGGTTGATCGGCCGATGGCTGGTTGTTTTGCTGACGCCAATTGCCCTCAAAGTTTCGAGAGCCTTGTCTTGTGTGACTGCTCTGGCTTCCGCGGCGCTGCAAATCAGGTTGACCAGCCTGACCGGCGTCGTTAGTGGCATTTGGAGGAGGGAACTGAAAGGCCGAACGACCGCCAGTACCACCACCACGAGTGCCGCCAGCAGCCATGCTTTGGCTGCGACTGTGGCCAACACCTCTGGCGTTACCAGCACGTTGTAGCCCAAGGCCTTGGGAGGAAGTTGGTGTTTGTAGTTTGTCGTCGGCAGGAGTGGCAGCAACAGGGCTCTCAGCGATACCAGCGCCGCCAGGAATCGGGAACTGGAACCCTGCGGCAGTTCTTTTCTTTTCTGCCAATTCTGCAGCCTTCTTCGCTTCGGGAAGTGCTAGCGAGTGACGTCGAGCATGACCGCCCTGGTTTCCGCCTCCTCTTCCTCGATTGCTGGCATTCTCACGGTTTTGGGAGGAAGCTTGTTGATTGAACTCCCCGTAGCTGGCACCAGCAGTACCAGCCGAAGGTGCAGGTGGGGGACCCATGCCCATGCCTGGCAGAGCTGAGTTATTTCTTCGATGAGCAGCAGGCTGCGTTGGGGGATTTCCCGGTAGTCCCATTTGTTGCTGCATTTGCGGGAACTGAAAGTTTGTATTATTGGGCGAGATGCCAGACATGTTGGGTTGGCCTTGGATGGGCGAATATCCCGGCATGTTCTGTAAGGGCTGCTGGATCATGCCCATGTTCACATATTGCTGATGAGTGGCAGCAATCTGCTGCTGTTGCTGTTGGAGCAGTTCGATTTGTTGCTGAAGAGCAAGTTGTTCCATCATCAATGGGGTCAGCTCAGACGGGCTGCGTCGATGGGCGATATGGAGCCTGCGCCCGGCAGGACCAGGCACGCCAGTAGATCCTGATTGTGCCATATTTGTGCCTCTTGACTCAGAAACGAATTAGAGTTCGTTCTGTATGGGGCCAAAATTCAAAACAGCTAAGCAGAAGGACAGTAGGGATGGCCTTGGTCGCTCTGGCTGGTCAAGGAGGGATAGAAGGGTCGAGACTATTCAAAAAGGGGTTGATGTCAGCATAGTTCAGTGGCTGTATACGAAGAGTGCGAGCAGGTAGATGACAAAGTGGGGGCAGAGAGAGAGAGAGAAACACGACAACGGTTGGACTCAGACTCAGCTGAAGGGATTCGAGGAAACGTACCAGAGATTGCAGATTGGCAAAAGGATTATCAATGCTGCGCAAAGCTACAAATTGCTCAAGACTCGAATGTGACAAGTGATGGGAGTTGAGTAGTGATAAAGGCCCAGCCAGATGAACGGTGGTGAGCCCGCTGCCGAGGTGGAGGGGAAGAGAAGGGTGTCAAGACTCTGACAGGACAGTGGGGGAGGGAAGACGAGGACAATATAGCGTAGAGCTGATGGCTGGCTGTCGTTGGTCTTGGTCTGAAGCAGCGACTGCGGGTTGAAGACAGACTCTGGGGAAGGCAGGCCCGATGGGAAGACGCTGTTTGTCTGGAAAGGACAGGAAACGGAGTCGACGGACGGGAGGGTGGCCTAGGGAAAAGGGAATTCAAGTGAACTGGACTGGGCAAGCAGCACAAGAGAGCGACTCTGGCTTTTGATGAAGGATTGGATGCGAAAGCGAACAGCGATGAGGTGTAGTCAGGGAGGGACAGAGATAGAGAGAGGTGGATGAGTGGATGAGTTCTGAGGGAATGAGTGCGAGTAAGAAGGTGCAATGTGTAAATAGTAGTGGTGGCCGACTGGTAGTCCTCGTAATAGTGCCACTTGCTGCTTGAGTAGTAGCAGCCGGACTAGGACCAGGGCGAGGATAGATGCATTGAATCCTCTTGGCCAGACGCAGAAGGGCAAGAGATATTGCCCTTCCTTGGGTTTAGTTCGGATGTGACTGAGTATGGAGGCTCCTACTAGTACTACCGGCTAGCGAAGTTGCTACTAACCACATGTACGGAGGAGGTTAACTGGACGCTGGGATGGTTGAGTGGTGGGTGAGTGGAGGAGCGAAGACGGAGTGGATGCATCTCCAACAAAGGTCTCAGTCTCAAATCCCCTCTGCGCCCCTGGGGATGTACTCGTACTCGTAGGTCCAAAGATGATGGATGTCTGATTCATATCCAGAGTCCAGAAGTGCACATCCCCTCTCTAACGTGTCCATTTGGTGCCTGTTTGATGATAGAACCCTAGTCGATGGGCAATGGTAGACTGGCTGCAAAGAGGAGGTGAGGTGTGTCCTGCTTATGCACAACGCACCTCCCTTTAGGCTGTTGCTCCCTGCCCAGGTCTGGGGCCTCGGGCGCCCGCGTCAACATCCCAGCCAAAATCACATATTCTAGTCTCCGCATCTACGAGGGGGTCTTTTTTAATACACAATCATGCCATTGCAGCAGCCGTAATCATAGTTATTTCGAATACTTTTGAGACTGTCTGGAACAAACAAGCCAACGAGTTTCCCCCTGGGCTGACGCTTGACGCACAGAAGGATCCAGCCTTCCGAAGTGCCAAGAAGAGAGTGAGGGCGGAAGCCGGAACCCTTATTGTTGTGTATTTACCTATAGGCTCGACGTCGGCCCCGGTGGCCGCTCGCTTGAATGGGAAAGTTCAGCCTAAGGGCTCCCCAATTTGCACATCCCGCTTAAAGACTCTGTTTACTGCATCCCTATGGGTGCCCGAATTAACCTGCGACACTTCAATAATCGACACCAAGCTTCAGACTTCAGACCTCAGTTGGTCTTCCCCGGTTCCCTCGGCGTCCTAACTTAGGCTCCTCGGGCTCCTTCACGCCTAAACCTCTGCTGTATGAGCCTGAAACAACCACAGCCGTGCGCCACAGTCACCATCACCATCACCCTCCTCTGTCCAGTCGCCAGCCTCGAGCCTCGCGGAGCTTTTCATCCACCGAAAATATCCAGCATCCTGGTACCTCCATTAACACTCCCCCCAACAACACTTGTTGCCTTTTTCACTCTGCCCCATCTCTCGTTAAAACTTGTCGATCTCCAGGTTGCCGAAACACTCCTGATCGTTTCGAAGCTCTCGCTACGGAGTACTGTCTAACTTCACCCATTCGTTCCCACGCCCTGTCGTGAGACTCTTTTCAGCGGTGACGCTTTGTTGTCATTCACAACACAGGTGCTTCAACGGTTCCCGCATGCGGTCAATTTCTAGACGCTCTTCACTTCGCGGAACAGTCCCGCTTAGCTAGGCAGTCTTTGTGTGTTTCGTCGACCACGTTGACTTACGACCACGAGGATTTGTTCCTGTGGTCGCCGTCGATCTATATTTTGAACCAGGAATACCTCAGTCACGTGACTTTGCTATGACACGTGAACGCGCGTCGCCTTATCAGACCTCGCGCAGGAGCGACGACAGCCCTTCCAGGAAAGTCGAGTATGATCTTCAACGCGCGTTTAGTCAAGTGCAACTTCACCATGCTGAATGCCAAAGACTTGACTTATTTCAACGCCGCCAGCAACAAGAAGAGCTTGATGCAAGGGAGATGGTCCAGGCAGAAGTCCATCGAAAGGAGATCAACTATGCGACCGCTCAGCATGAACTAGTACGACAGCAAGCTGAAGCTGTTCTTCGATCATATCTAAAGAAAGAGGAAGAAGAGCGTCGCAAGCGTGAGGAGGAGCGAAGAAGGCAGGAGGAAGAAGAGGAAAAGCGAAGACAGGAAGCAGAAGCGGCACGGAGACTGGCCGAGCTGGAGCGCAGAGAGCGTGAGGAAAGAGAACGACGAGAGAGAGAAGAACGGGAGAATGCCGAGAAAGAGCGCGTTGCCATCCTTGAAAAGCAAAAGGAGGACGCAGAGGAAAAGCACCGCAAAGAGCGCGAAGCAACTGAAAAGGCTCAACGAGAAGAATCCCAGAGACTAGAACGCGAACAGCAGGATCAAAAAGACCGTGAAAGTGCCCTCAAGCAGCAGCAGCAACAACATCACCAACAACGAGAGGCGGACAAGACCAGTGCTATCACCAGCCAAAACCTTTCACCAGCAGCAATGACAATCCCCGCACAGAAACCCACACAAAGCACATCATCCACTCGTCATAATCTAGAGGCAGAACACAGACATTACCTAGCAATTCACCAGAAGCTCAAAGCCTTCCGGAAGGATTTCTGGGACAACACGAGAAAGAACCCAGCTCTAAAACCTCACGTTGGGGATATGCGAAGGGCGATGAAAACCAGTATCGGCCAACTGACTGACGATAGGGTTGGCAATAGGGTTCCTGTGAGTTGAAGATCCTTCTACCTTCTTCTCCCATGAATTAATACTGACATTCTTCCCTTTTGCCCAAACCAGCACGAGAGAATCCGCTCAACACTCATCCGAGCACTGAAAGAACTACCATCTCCACCGGTCACTGTGAACGACTACCTTCCACCCGGACTTAGCCTTCTCGACAAAAACACCACCACCATCCCATCACTCGTCCTGTACCTCCTATCCATGTTCAGCAAAGCCGTTATGAACGCCTTTGTAGGCGAATGCGCTGTGAACCCAAAAGCCGCCGAACCGATCGGCACACTCGCCGCCCAGATCTTTTCCATGCCCGAGCTACAATTCACGCGCAACGTTCCATCCCTCAACTCGGGCATCCACTACGAGGCCTTCGGCGGCTCAGCACCCACCCCGCCGATGAAACCCAGCAGCTGCTCGCTAATTGCCGTTCTAGTGTGCAAGTTCCACGCCGCGGCCCCCGCGTTATTTGGCGTCTCTGGCTCCGAATCCACCAGCGCCGGAAGACTCCGCCTGGGCTGGCGCACCGAACACGTCTCCGACGGCAAGAAAGCTTTCGTCGAAGAACAAAAGCATTACGACCGCCTGACAGGGCTCGGGGTCGGGTATGCGTCCATCGCTTTGCGGAACTTCTCCAAAGCTCGCCTCCAAAACCCCTGGCCGCCCCGCCACTACTGGGAAAGCCTTGCCAGTATCGCGAACACGCCCCCTGCCGAGGTACAAACTAGTCACCTGATTCTCCTCAAGTCGATGCTGGAAAATGTCGCCCGCGACCGCTTCGTACTGTTCTACGGCGCCGCCGGAATCGCCGCCTTGAGGCAGGCGGTCGTCGCTTTCCCAGCCTCGCTGCCGCGAGAGATCCAGGAGAAGCCCGCTGCGAGGGCGCTGGTGCTTATGGCTGAGAGTTGGAAAATGGGCTGGGATTGAACAAAATAAAATTGAAACGCAGACTCTCTGGTCTGCCGCTTTTTTGCGGGGTTGTTCGGGGGCATGCCTTCGATCACGAACTACACGGCGAATATTCCGTGCTCCCATTGACTGATTGGCTGATCGATCGATCGATCAATAAACTGGCTCCTTGTGTCCTTCAGCTGACACCAGAGTGCGCATTGTCATTGTCACTGTCTATCTGTCTCGATCAATAAGGGCGAGTGCCAGAGGGGAGTTTCGCGGGTCCGCTATTCTCGTAGCATATCATACTTTATTTAGTGAGACAATCTCACTAGAATAAATCGAGAGTTTTCCGCAAAAACACGGCATAGGCGATCTACTTTTATGATGCGAGAGGTTGGGGTTAAAATGGGTCGTACCAATAGACATTTCCAGTTTGACGGCCCAAATAACTACATCCCAAGTCGACGTGACGACGTACATAGTATCATAGAAAGTCCAGCCCTTGCCATGCCACACCTGTTTCCTTCATTTTCCGATGCACATATTGTGAGAGCGCCTCGAATGCCAGAGGCATCCAACATCACCCGGCTTAATCCAGTTTCAGCGTCCATTGGTTTCTTTCCATCCATATTTATCCCCATACCAAAACCAACCCAAAGTCTACTCAGACCAGCGCGATGGACCTCAGCAAGTTACTCTTGTGGACGTTCCACCAGTCCTTGAAACCGCCGTCGGCCCAGTACGGGGTATCGACGACGAAGCAATCCGACCAGCTGCTGCCCAAGGCGAGATTCCCGCCACCAGTGTCGATGACATTGTTGCCACCTATGCTACCTGCGCCGTCGAGGCGTGGACCGACACTGTCCATGTAGAAGAGGCGTATGGCACGGGTCTCATCAAGGACATGGACGACAATGGTGATGGTGGCGAAGGCGAGCATGGCAACGAACGCCAGCACCGTCATTCCAACAGCCCGCCCCGGCATCTTGTGGTGTCTTCCTTTTTGCTTGTACGGGTCGATCGGGTTGGGGCCTGGCCGGGCGTTCTTCGGCTCAAGGGATATGAGAGGGAATGAGACGAAGAGCTCTTTGGGATGCGAAAGGGCTCGTGGAATCCAGCGGGAGGCGAATCCCAATACAATAAGACCGTATAGTAGCCCAACACCGCCAACTACAATCTCGGAGAGGACCAGATATGTCATCAGGTTCGGGTTGAGGTCACTGTCGCTGCCGTTGTTGTGGTCAGAGAGGAGGCAAGATTTAGGATATGTGACAGTTAGGTTCGTGAAATGGTCGGTGTTGTTGGACCAAAGATACTGGGTATCACAGCCAACAAAAGATGGAGGGCTGGGGAACATTGCACATGATTCCATGTCGTGCCCTGTCTTGAAGCCCAACATGCATGGACAGTTTCCCCCTTGGATGGCAAATTCTTGGTATGATGTTTTCTTGTCCTGGAGGAAAGAGAAGATAGCAAGAACAACACAGCTATAGATCATGAGTAGGTCTATCACAATGAGGAGATATAGGATGCGTGGCATGGCCCGACTCCCCAGGTATGTCTGTACCGAAGTGAACATGATCACAAGGCTGGCAATTCCAGGGTATGTATGTTTCTCCCCTGACACAATTTGAATCATAAGTGCTAGAGTGGTGGCTGCCCGTAATGTTGACCAAGTGATACCGATTGCAGTAGTGGTAAGTGCGAATGTACCAAGTCCACCATGCATGTTTGTTCCACTGAGTGTGGTATCGACTGACACAGTCCTCCGGCGCTGATCATTGACAAAGGTATCCATTGCATCGTTCTCAATCAGAGTCCTAGTTGTCGAAAAGTCGTTCGAAGATGATGCAGATGTCCATCTCCTGTGGCGCTGCTCATACGAAGATGATTGTCGGATTGGCTGATAAGATATATCGTTCATCGAGATGAGACTAGCACCTGACTTGATCCTTTTCGTTGATTCCCATGATTTGTAAGACGTTTGTACACCAAGAAACCCCAGGATGATAGAAAGAGTCACACTCGCGGCGACGAAAGGCCACGGTGTGGGCCGTGTGATCCAGTATGCTTCGAGCGAGGATGTATGATTTGTATCAAGGTAACCAGTGAGCAGGAGTTGCGACCTATTGCCCTGTGAAGCCATAGCGAGTTAAAACCAGGCGACAGGAATCTCGACTGAAAGACTCGATTCTCAGCCTGATTGCTGATTTCTCTTACAGCCACTATCAATCATATCCCAAAGCTGCAGTAAAGAACCATGGTCATCATCATCATCATCATCATCAAGGAGACACCTTTCAACCCTCAGTATCCTCTTGAAAGACTTCCATGACATGACTAACGGCGAGGTTGAAAAGAGAACCGAGACTGGGGCCAAAAATGTGAGGTCCAAATCCGAAAACGCCTGATCTGGCACTTTCAACAGGCGCAGGGCTGAGGGGAAGACTTGACCGGCCATGTGGCGCTTGTTTGAGGGTAGAGGAAGCCGTCATGGGCGGCTCATATCGAACCAAAAGTATCCAGGAAGGCTAGCCACCTCAAGCACGAGAAAAGGACGACTGCCAATAGGTACTCAGGCGACGCATTATTCCACAAATACGAGAGTAGGTGCCTTGTAGTCTGTGATAAGGTGCAAAACCTGACAGGTGTAGCCAATTAGTCAGGACCCGAGCGTTTATCCTTTTCGTATATGCAGCCCCTCCTCCATTGGGGCTGAAGGTCTTGGAGGGGGTTCGCCCAAAACGTTTGCCATCGCGTGGACGGCTCTCATTATGGCCGATAGAGCGACAACACTTCGTTGCAATGACGTTTGGACTTTCAATGCTGGTTGGCATCCATACCCCCCTTCGACGTTGCGGACGGAAGAGCATTGTTTGAAGAAGCAGATCCCAAGCCTATGTAGCATTCGGGAATTTTGCGGCCTCTTGGGGCCAACGTAGATTGGCGCCTCCTCACCGGCCATGGCACCGACTGGGGCCACGATCGTCTTGAAGAGTTGGAAACGAGCACAACATCAGGCTGGTGGCTCAAAGTAGAAGAATGAGGGAAGCAATCGTATTGAAGGGACAGCCTCATTCGTCAATCACCGTATCGGTTGCCATAACCGACAGGGCAAGTGCATAAGTACCAAACGCCCATTTCCAGTCTTTGGTCGATTGGATTTTGCGCCATTTGAAAACAAGCACCTTTACCGTGCATCGAAGGAAGCATCCGTGACTCAGCCTATTGGGCTATTGGACCGTGCATTGCCCATCACGATGCGTTGCTGGGCCTCTGGACACGAATGGAAAGAGTTTGACCTTGGGGACTGGGATGCTCTCGGAAAGAATTAATTGTCAAACGCCTCTCTTGTCCTGCGTACTACTAGTGGCTAGCACACCACTCTGTGCCTTCTAGCTGAGAGATCTAAGTGCGGTACCTCGTATACCAGACAGCTTGGTAGATGAAGGAGTTGACGGAGAAGGGACCTCAGAAGAGGTCGGAAGGCTAATTAACCAAATTAATAATTCGTCCGGGGTTCACCTTCGACAACAGTTAAACTTCACAACCCCGTGCCCCGACATACACCCTGACTTGCCTCTGAGCTTACTACAGCTCTTCATTATTTAAGTCATAAAAAGGTCAGCCTTTCTCAATCTACTTGATGAAATTAGTCAGCCGTTCATCAGGGTGTTCTGCATGCGCAACAAGGCCCGATAAGGCTATACTAAAGGGAGGTACCACCCCCAGATATTTCTCCCTTTCTCTCCTCTGATCGTAGTTCTTTCCACAGCCTCGCGTGTTATTTGAGTGTGCAAATGAGTCATCATTCCCTGGCATCCACTGTACCAGTCTAACAAGTTCTCTTGAGGGGCATCGTCCGACGTCTTGGAGCTCCCTCTCCGCACCGGCAGTTCACGGTAGCATTGGCAATTGCGCACCCCAGCTCTAACTCGAATGAATAGCGGGGAGGCTTGGTGCAAGGATTCCCCATGCTTCATGGTCAAAAGGCACTGACCGACTCATGATCCTGATCAAGAATCGACTCTATATAAGGAGGTAATCAATTGAGCAGTTTCAAGAGTTTGAGGCATCGCCGCGTGTTCCACCTGTCAAGATGGTAGACATCTCGAGGAAAGACACTCTCATTCTCGAAAAGACCATCTCGTACTTGGAAGCTGGGCCTCAGGACGCACCGTTGCTGATCTTCGTTCATGGATGGCCGGCGATTGCTGACGTCTGGAAACCCCAGATTCTTACTTTCGCTGGCCTAGGCTTTCGGGTTGTTGCCCCAGATCTGCCCGGCTTCGGCAAGTCCTTCAAATCCGACAACAAAAAAGATTTCTCCTTGAAGTGGGTCAATACAATTCTCCTGAGGTTCCTGAAGCATCTTGGCCGAACACAGGCTATATGGATTGGGCATGACTGGGGCGCTGGCGTCGTTTGGTCCTTGCTTTCACATTATCCGGAGAACTGCATTGGTGTTGCCAATATGTGCATCGCCTATCGAACCATCGAATGTGGTGTTCAAGAAGGACTCATCAAACATGCCGATCGGGAACTATACCCTGAAGACCAATACCCAAATGCACAGTGGGATTATATGGTATACTACCAAGACGAAAAGAATTTCGACAAATGCATTCGAGACTTTGAGAGCGATATCCCAAATTTCTTTCGGGTTGTTTATCGCAAAGGCGATCCAGAAACCTTGAACACGCCGACGTTTACAGCCTCAATTACGAAGAACAACGGCTGGTTTGGTGAGGAAGGCAAACCACCCGAGCTTCCACTTGACACCGATGTCCTCAATCAGGAGACTCACGCGAAGCTCGTAGAAGCATTTCAGGAGAGTGGCTTCCGTTCACCAACATCATACTATCTCAATATGGAGGACAACGCTCAATATACTGAGGACTGGCAGATAAATGAAGGGTTGGTCAACCTCCCAGTTCTCTTCATTGGAGCCAAGTACGATTCCGTCGCGATGACAGCAAAGAAGTCCAAAGCTACGGAACAGATGAGGAACTTCTGCCGTAAATTCACCCAGGTCAACATCGCTGGCGGGCATTGGATAGCACAGGAGAAGCCGGAAGAAGTCAACGCTGCCATTGCGAAATGGATCGCGACGGCCCTTCCAGCATCGGTCTGGCCGGCTCCCCAGCCAGAATCCTAAGATAAAATTGGTTACTTGGTCTCGCATCTAGATATTACACGTAACGGCCAACCTATGTAGCTAGCTAGGATGTCCAGAAGATGATGAGAGTCTACGCTCAGCTCACCCTTTTGTGGGAACAAAGTGACACCGCCCTTTGTTTACCCTGACTAGCCTACCCGAGCGTGAGCTAGCCATCTAACTTACGTACGCGTCGCGCTGAGTTTTGGGTGCTATTATGCGGATCTCAACTGATGTGCCAGTCGGCACAACAGCTAATTTGGACCACAACGATAGATAGGTATGTATGGAGCACCATGCTACCTATGGCATAAACAATTATCCAAAAGTTGTAAAATTGTAAATGAGGTATTGTACTTTCTAAAAAAGGTTACTTTTAGAAAGAATGACCTCTTGCTCCTACGGGCCACTTAACTACGGAGTATACACTCCGTACCAGGGTTGTTATGCGCCGCACCTCCCCCCGCACCTGTCAGGCAGGCAGCAGCGTTAGCTCTCGTCTTAGTTCTCTCGAGGGCTTCTCTTTCTCTCGTTTTTGCTCAATCAGTTAACCTATACCAGCCCAGTGGCCCTCACTACTGGTGGGTAAGTTAAGGTTGGTGACGATAAGATCTAAGTGAGTGGATGAGCGGGTGTTTGAAGTGGCGCAATTAGTATGAAGCTCGAGGAAGGGTCGGCGTCGTCATATCTCCTCTCTCTGGTGCCAGCTGCAAGCATGGTGCAACCCTCGGCGACGTTCAGCCTACTCGTCATCTTCAGCCTCATCGCATCAATCACAGCGGAGTGCACAGGCCACACACCAGCATTCCCATCTCCAGACTACGGGCAGAAGAGCTTTGAATTACTAGAAGCATTCAACGGCATTTCGAACGCATTGACCGTCTTGACTGCTGATCAAGACTACAATGCATCGTCCTACTCAATCGAGATAACATCGGCAGACTCAACACTGTGGACGACGTACCACACAGCAGAGGCAAAGAACGACTCACGGCCCGGGGCCGCTGAAGTCAACGGGCAAAGCACATACCGCATCGCTAGTATCACCAAGAGCTTTACCGTGCTAGGGCTCCTCTACCAGGATGCCGCTGGCAACCTCAGCCTCGAAGACACCATCGGCACATATGTGTCCGAACTCGTCAGGGGCCACCAGCAAGGGTCCATCCCCTGGAAGGACATTACTCTGCGAACACTCGCAAGTCAGCTGAGTGGCATCCCTCGGGACTTCGCACAAGGGGACATGTTCAACGATTTCCAAGACCCCATCCAGTACGGCTTCCCGCCCGTCTCATACACAGATCTCCCGCTATGCGACTCATTCACGAATTACACGCACCCATGCACAGGCAAAGACCTCATCAACTGGCTCCGCTCCGCGACCGGCACACCGGTATTCGCACCGAACCAAAGATCCACATACTCCAATATCGCCTTCGAACTCCTCGGCCTCGTCCTCGCGAATGTCACGGGACTCAGCTACGAAGAATACATCCAAACAGCAATCCTAGAGCCCCTGAACATGATAGGAACCTCATTCCTGAAACCAGCAGACAGCGTAGCTGTCCTGCCCAAAGGTGAGCAATGGTACTGGGATGTTGACGAAGGAGTCCAAAACCCAACGGGGGGTCTTTTCGCCACATCAAGCGACATGTCGAGTTTCCTACGCTATATCCTCACACACTTCAACGGCATAACGCCAGCACTGAACTGGTTCCAGCCCGCCTCGTTTGCGGAAGGCGTGCACTCCTTCTACGGAGCGCCGTGGGAGATTTTCCGGACCGACAAAATCCTAACTCAACCATCCTCTCGCCGCCCAGTGACCTTCATCACGAAAGGCGGCGGCCTACCAGGCTACTCGACCAACATCCTCCTGGTGCCCGAATACTCGCTTGGCATCACAATCCTCACAGCAGGAAACCCCCGACTCCTCTCAAAAGTCCGCGAGATCGTGACCACCAAGCTCATCAACGCTGCAGACAAATTCGCGGAGCGACAGGCCTGTGCCCGCTATGCCGGGACCTACTCCGCGCCGCACATCAACAGCACGCTCGAGATCACCCTCTCGCCGTACCGGGGCCTCTATGTCTCCCACTTCCTGTCCAACGGCACGGACACGCTGTCGCTGTTCCTCGACCAAGTCCGCGAGCGGTACAGCGAAGATATCACGCTGCAGCTGATCCCGACACTGCTGTACCGCGACGAGGAGCAGAAGCGGGGCGAGCTGTTCCGCGCCGTCTTCGACTTCCCCCCCAAACCCCAGGGCTCGTCGGGTGTGTGGGATGACTTCTGTACTACTGATGTCAGCCCGCTCATGTATGCTGGAAAATCTGTTGGCGAAGTCGTCTTCTGGGATACAGACTCCTCGGGGCAAAGGTATGACAGGGTCGAGCTGTCGGCTTTCAGGGTGTCGCTTGACCGTGTACTAGATGAGAGAGACAAGGATGGCGGGCTGGCCGAACCATTGCTTGTTCAGGGGCTTTAAGCACCACTGATGGAAATGAAAAAGAGAACCAAGAGGAACGTGTTGATGATTTGGAACGCGGACGGCGCGGCTTGGATGTTTCAATCCGGGGTACACTTCTGCCCTCTATCTGGAAAAACACTCTCTATATCTGTGGATCAACTGCTTCGACCGTTGACGACAAGGACCTTTCAGCATTCGAATGGAATTTGGAATACAGTTCTAACCTAGAATCTAGCATGTCATCATTTCATGCAACGTACCGGTGTTGCTTTGGACGACATTTTCGTACTCTCCATGTCTCGCCCTGGAACAGTAAATCCAGCACCTCGTTTCTTCTCAGTCCATTCTCCATATTTGAGAGCCCACTTGGCTCTGGCAATTGGACGACACCGTATTCGTGCAGTTTCTCTATGCTTTCCGATGTAAACATACAATGTTCATCTCCATCCTGATTATCCACACAGTTGTGGAGTGAGGTTTTCCCTGGTTGCTCAACGCAAATTAACCAATTACTTATCATCCTCCTCCCCATCGTCGAGATGCTCCTCCGCATCAACAAAGATGTCTTCTCCATCCTTTAAGGCGGCGGCACGCTTCATCTCCGCATCCGTGAGCTTTTGACGTTCATGGAGATCATCACAATCAAGATCAGAGACTCCGTCGTCTTCGACGTCCTTGGTCAGGCTCAGGTCCCCGTCCGGGGTATCACTGGACGTGGCTGGTGCATGTAGTCTTGCTTCGGAGTCAATATCACGGAAGAATGGATGATCTCTAGTAAGCACCTTCCCAGAGCAAACATACCCCATCGGCGTTTGTGCGAAATCTTGGTCTTTTGCTCGAAGGTTGAGCCATTCTTGGAGGAAACCCAGTGTCTTGACTTTTGTGAGTTGGGCCTGTGGTGCCTTGCATGGTATGGACCCAGGCTGAGCAATAAGATCAATTTCTTCAAACTCCACTGGAGTGTTTTCGGTACCGTAGAAAGGCAACCTGTCTATTTCTGCCAGCCCACGGGATGACTCCTCGCACGTTGCATTGTTAGTGACATCAAGGAACTCGAGCATGTGAGCAAGCTCCTCGAAAGGGAAGTAAAGACGGCCTGAGAACAGCCCGACCTGGACCCGGAGCCACAAAGGAGCCTCCCAATCCTGTCTGAGTGACGATATTGCATAGTATTTCAAATCGTTGAATTGTAGCATCTTCCTCGTGACTGGAGCTGCGTAGGTCAGTAGATGGACCTCTTGTTTGACTGCTTCCCTAAGTAACGGTACGAGAAGCTCGGCTTCCTCTGGGCTGACGAGAATCGCAGTATCTGATAGTTCGCTCCAGAGTATGTACTGAGTGTGCCTCAGGAAGTTATCATGGTACTTGCCGGTAGTCATGTATACTGTCTTGCGAAATTCCAGTGAGACAAATAGCCTCGAGTTAACCGGCAGATTCAACTTATATTTCTGGCCAATATTTGTGTGACGCATGTATAGAAAAAGCTGCTGACATGTCATATTCCCTGCCCTTAACTCGCCTGAGTTGACGAATGCCCGAATGTCAAGGTCGAGACCCGAAAAGCTCTGGGGGTAGAAGCGTGGTGGGTTTTGTCTCTCACGAACTGTCTCAGCTCCGATAGCCACTTCGCGTTCCTGTTCGACTTCTTGAAGCGCAGAGGCATGGACTGCATTCCCCGTGTCCCGGAATGCTTTACGATTTGTCTCAAGCTCTCTCACAAACGAAGCAATCTGGCCATCATTGAATGGGCCCTGAGGCAGCTTTCCTCGACCGCTTTTCTCATAACGAGGTTCATAAAGCGATTTCAGAGTGTGTTGTTCAGGATCCTCCAGCACTTTGGCGTAGGAGGAACGGTGGTATGCATTAGTCAGGAAGTTAGGGTAGTCATTCCTAGCCTGTGAGCGGCGGCAAAAATCTGTACCCTGGGCATAGAATAACGGTTGAAGATTTTCAAGGCCTTGAATTGTCTGCTCAAGTAACCAGCAAATAATATCACGCGAATCGATATGGTTGCGCACTGTCTTGCGCTGAAAGTCTATGATTGACTGATGGACCTCAGGAGGTGCAATGAACGTAACTCTCTGTGTAGTGCCCAATTGACGAAGCCTCATCACCACTTGCAATATTTGGTCTTTTGTTTGGCCCAGACTGAGCGTAACAGCGCCATGAGCGCCTGGTGGAAATTTCAAGTCGGTACCACGCGTGTGAGATTCGTCGAGATAGACTAAGCACTCACCCAAGTTATCAGCAAATGGCGACGCCACTAAGGGCAAAGTCTTCCTGCCCCGGTAAGTGACCATGGCACGGTTGTCCTCGTCGAAATAGATTGCAGCCGGAGCGGTTGTATCGAGTTCAAGCAATTTCTTGGCCAGGTCATAGTTGGTCATCTCCAAGATCGCAGCTCCTGAATCAATCAGAATTCTAATATTCTTGAAGCGCAATTTCACGTGGAACTGCTTTGCATGCTTTGGAAACACGAAATTGTTCAAGAAATAATCAATAGCGGCCGTGTTGAAGCGGAAATGGCGCCAGATGTATTCGAGCTGCAAGGTATCTTCAGGGTTCAAGGCGGTCCAATCTCGATAATGACCAGAGAGACTTTCAGATGCTTGAATCCATTCTTCAATTCACGAGCAGGGTCATCTGATTTCAATATTTGCTCCAGACTCTTTCGAAGATGGTCCTGAGAAAGACCTTGATAATAGAAGGAGAGGCATGTAAAGAGCAATGACATGTCCACACGGCCCCATTCGGCAAGGTTGGAGGGGACCCCTTTTGCGTGAAAAGGAACTGCCACAGGATCTCGGGTGGGATGTAACCCATATTGTACATTCCAAGGCCTACTGAGACAAAGTAACAATATTCGGTGAACAATGAGACCCCGAACCAGATGGATGACAAATCCAGCGGCAGGATTACCTCTGGATATTTTTGACACAAAATTTGTAACTTTCTTTGGTGGGAGACTCTTGGACATGAAGATCTCGATAGCCTTTCTTTCTGAGATCGAGAACTCTTCAATCTCGAGGATATTTGTTTTTCCGCTGCAAATGTCCTAGACAATTTGCTGAACGAGAGCCTTCTGCGGATCACTGTGAAGAAAGTAAACAAATGGAAATCTACCTTGCTGACGATGGACAACTTGAATTTTTGAGCCGAACTGAACTTGTAGGTGGTGTAGGTGTGATTCGACCACATGCAGGATGGCTTCGATGGTCTCCCACCTATACTTGGCGCCGTCGACTGTAGCTTGAGGGCCTGACGGATAGACGAGCTGTGTCCTGACTGCCATAGTGAAATCACATTCATCAAGGACATCGCGACAGTTATTATCTAGTCATGCTTGGAACTGAATCATACGAGTAGCTTCTTCAATTCGGTTATCTGATAGCTGCTGCTGACCAGATAGCATGATTGACAGGATGTTTTCGGGCAGTGCAATGATCACCCCACATTTCTTTAACATCTCTTTGTGAACTTGCGCGTACGATTGAATGGTTTCACTCGTACACGTTGTCTGCCGGGAGAAGGGAACATGGCAAAGCTTTCTCTGCAGTAAACCTCTGAGTCGGGATTGGAGTAACTGGCCAGTCTGCAATAGGAGTGCTTTCGGGACGATGATGCGGCATAGTGCCGATCCACTCGCAAGCACCGAAGCTACCATCGGAATGACGACTGAAGTCTTCCCCTTACCCATGTTTAACTGCAGTACTGAATTTGAACCTTATGCTCCCGATATCGTGGCGAGGGGCGACATCTGCCTGTACGGGTCTGATAAGAAGATTGGCTTCAATCTCCAGTAAAAGGCAATCCGGATAGTCTCTTGGAGTCCAATTTGAATGACCATTATTGTCGAGCTCGTCCTGTAGAAGTTGAGGCTTCCGCTGCGGGCCGCGTCTCGTATGCGGAGAAGGCGCTGCCATCGAGTGATAAGGAGTCCTAGATGGAGAATTGCAGTCCTAACAGAATCTTCCATTTCAAAGTTGCGCGAACTTCTCGGCGTCTCTAGCAGAGCCCGTTCTTTAGGAAATGGCCAAAGTCCAGTGTTTTGAATACATTCCGATCCAGGCACCCCAGATTTCAAGGCCGAGCAAATTCTCTCATGGCACTGTTGTACTTCACGCTCGGCAGCAGCCACATCTAATCCAACTTTGTCGGAATTTAAGGGAACTTTCAATTTCGTCGAGGAGTTGCTGATCTTCTTAAGCGCCGCAGTAGATTCTTCCAATCTACGGAGATATCCTGCTCGCACGATCGAACAGGATTTTGGTAACTTTAAGTCAGTTATAATATCTTGTAATTCATTTGTTTTGTGAAGGGAATGGTGGCTGTCTGAAGCATACGAAGCTAGAGATCTTTCCTGTTTATCTCCCATATTCATCCCAATCACCTGGCTCAATAATGTGGTAGGCATTAGATGAGTGGCTCGTGGTGTAAGGAGTCCAGTATTGCTTGGTCCAGATTGTAGATCTCGCTTGGGTCCGGTAGCTCGAAATTTGGCCGGAATGATTTGCACCTGACTAAGATGTTGCTCGAATTCATGGTTTTGGAACATGGCTTGATACGGTGGTAGGAGCAATAAAACTGCTTCCTTATGATCTATAAACTCGTTACAGACTTCATCAACGAGAGGTTGGGCGCAAGGCCATTGATCACAGACCGACTGCACCAGTTGCTTGATTTGCTCCTTTACCTTTGCATCATATGCTCTGTGGGATGCATGTACTGCCTTTTGTTACCGCTGACTGTGGCCCTTAGGAAAATCTCGGGCTTTTTGGCCGTGTTTCGATAAAATGTCTTCAAAATATTTCGGCGATGGGATGAAACCAGCCTTGAATTGTGTAAAATAGGGCCAAGATGGTAGATCTAGCGCTTTCAAGTCTTGCAATACGGCACAAGCTATGAGCACCTGAACCGCGTGGATGTTAAGATCTTTCTTAAAGCAGATACATGCTGTCAGAAATAACAGCTTGTACTTAGCGTTTCGACAGCCTAAAGAGATTCACCGCGATCCCCAGGATGAGGCTAAACTGATGTTCAACTGATCACTCAGTCTTAACTTGTCGTACACCACCGTCCCGTTGCCAAAGCCTCCGATGTGTGGCCAATTTTGCATCATCAGGACCAGAGCACCTGGTGAAGGGAGTCTCTTGGACCACTGTTGCAGTAGACGGGGCGCATGGAGCACGTGGCTCTGTTCCGCATCATATTCTGTATATCCACGAACAGGATAGGCCATGTCACAAGGACCAATATCGAGTGAGTCTTTGAATAGTCGTTTCTGGAACATTTGTCTTCGATTTTGGCTTCGATGAACCAAATAACCATCGCTGACATGGTTGACATTCTGGCTCTTCGGATGCTTACCGAGATAGGGTGATGGTGTTGGTGCACCACACATTTGGTTGAGCTCAAATTGTAACTTGATATCGGATCTAGCCTTGGTAAGATCAACAAGGTGTTTGAAGCGGTCGTCCTGCATACCCACTGTGAGCTGTGGATCCCACGTCACGGTTTCCATTACTCTGAGCTCTGGAGGATAGAACATTCGCAGAGGCGTCAAGCCCGCGATATGATCTAAGAGCGTCATATTGATGGCAGTAAGTGGAGTATATGGCTGGCAGTCTCCTGACTGAAGAATATTGCACGCCTCTTCCGTTCCGGTTTCGCCAGTCAATGAGTCAGGGAGACAAAATGAAGTCAGAGCGTGAAGCAAGGCTTTCGTGTAATAGAGGCGTGGCTCCGTTGCACAAGTAGCTCTTCCAAGCACTTCATCCAGAAAGTATCTAGCGTAGAGAGCTTCTGGTGACTTGATGTGCACTTCAACATGAAGGCCTTTACGTTCCACGCTGGGAATTCTTAAGGGTACAAGAATACTTCTCTACTGTTGGTTGTGGATGTCCCTCAGGACAATTTTGGATCCAAGTCCATACCATACGCCTGCGTCCCGATTGGGGTCAACCTCAGCACGTAGCTCTTGGCTTTCCAGTAGACCGTTTGAGTTTACATAGAAGTTGAGATTATAGCGGGGAAGTGCAGCTACTAAAGCGGCTCTTTGTGGTTGGTAAAGGAGGACATGGCTTCAGTCTTCAAACCCGCGAAAATTGCTAGCCACATGATTGAACAGGTTGCCACGACTGTCGATAAGGTTATGTATCCCTCGAGAGCGATAGCCAGTCCTGGACGAGAGGTTGATACGCCAGTTGCTGTCAAGAGACCTCCAGATCATTGTTGCCTTTCGTATCTCGATTACAATTTTTCGAACGTTCAACCAATGTACACAATTCTCGACCAATGACGCTGGTAAATCGAAGGAATAGTTGTTTTGGTAGACGCTAGTTGGGATGAACTCCAAGAGCTCGCCGGCTGCGAAAGCGCGGATCACGAGCTGCCCGTGTCTGAAGCCGATGTGGACCTCATGGCCTTTAACCAACATGCCCAGCTTGTAGGCAATACCACGTAACGAGGATGGATTTACACTCAGTCTCTGGAAAGGGAAAACCTGATGGATGGCTTCAGAGTTGCGATGCTCCATAGGTAGTTCTCTTTGCACAGTCTTGCCATCCACAAGCAGGACACCAGACATGAGATGGAATTCAACAATCTGCGCATCCATGCTCTGGGTGGAGCCTAGTTTTAATAAGGCCCATATACCGTTAATATTTTCCTTGAAAGAGAATGGATCAATTGAATTGTCATATACTCTCTCACTAACAATGTCGGCTTTGGCGGAACCCATGATCAAAGACTGCGGGTTTGCCTCCAAGGAGCATTGAAGAATATCTTGCAAGCGATAGATCATCCGCAAATCTCGTATGAACATGCTTGGTAAGATCGATGAGAGATCTGCAAGGCTCTTGGGTAGAAAAATTTGCGCGGATACTGCTGCCTCAATGAAGATGCTTAAAGACCACTGGTCGATGCATATAGGCAGGGAAGTGGCTGCCTGAAGTTCCCAATGTGTAAAAGTACGCTTGCAAAGCAAGGTAGCTCACAATATCAATTGCGACAACCGGCGAGATGTAGCAACATTCGTCGTGGACCAAGATTCCTTTCGCAGAAGGCGGGTCCACTGTATTGTTGTATCCCAGCCGCAGCCAAGAAGTTCAAGGGCTCGCACTCGGACCGAAGTAGATCCAAGCCCGAGGACTTTCAATATCAAGGTGATCAGAATGCTCATGCTACAATGGTCACGCCAATTTGAGCGGATAGTAGTCAGTCGTTTGTCAATCTGTGATGCCAAAGCATTGCAGAAAGCGTCACCCTGGAAGAATTTAATCTGAGAATATACGTCTTGGCTATCTTCGGGATCTGTTCGTGCGCACAATGATTCCAAAATGATCATGACGGCTTCGGAGCTGAGATTGAGATTGGAAGAGCCCATTTCAATAAGCAAAGCGGGCCAAAACCGATTGAATTTACAGATCACGCTCTGAAAGGCAACAAACTCTTGAAGGCTGAGACTCTTAGGACAACGAGGTTGCCCGGCAAGAATTTCATTCGAGTCGAAAACAGCGTTCGCTGCGATGAACTTTCCACCAGGCTTGGGTATGCCAACAGTCTCCATTAGTCGTGAAGGATACTCAATTTTCGCGAATGGACTAGCTTGCGGTCTGGGAATCGCACAGTGGTGGTTGAAGGTTATTGCCCGTGAGTGTTCTGATGGCCACAGTTTCGTAGCGGTGTCATAGAACTCAAATTTCAATCCACTGTTCATAGAGACCTTATCAAAAGGTACCGGGAAATGCACAGACCGGAAGTGGGTCTTAAGAAAGGACTTGGTCTTTGATCCGAGGGTAATCATAGCAGAAGATGATATTCCCATCCATGTCTGACGACCGGCTTCAATAGCTGACATCGATGTCTCTATAATAATCATGTACAGAAGTCAGAGGTTCTTTCGCTGTCGGTTGGACTTCTGGTAGACCAAGAGAGGCAATTATGCGCCATGTAGCATTTCTCTACACAGAAAATGGTTTCGGGCAAAGTAGTTCGAACAGGACTGCCTTACATTCTCCTTGGTGGTACGGGAGAGGCTTCTCAAGGCGTTCAATTCGGATACTATCTGCTTTTCGAGTCAACGCACATTTACTGCACTTCTCTGCGTGTTCGAGCCTCAAGTTGTCACCAACTAGATCATATTGGCATGTCATCGCTGCTAATTTTTGTAACAACATCTCATGCTTGGAGTCTAGCTTCGCCCATTCGTCGTGCTTCATTTGAATTTCAGCGATAGTTTTCGCTTCAATCGCCCGAAGAGGTTGATGCAGCTCGGAGTCACTTGGCAGATAATCATACTACTTCTCTGCAAAACAGCCATTGGTGGGGTTGTCGAAGACAGATTGATCGCTAGTTGCATCGGAATGACGATGGTAAAGATATTGCTGCAAATTCCAGGAGTCGAGCTAAACCGTGTTGCTTTCATAGCCGCAAGCAATCGAGAATTGAGGATTGGAAGATTGGTTTGAAATAACTCAGAGCTGGGAAAAGGTGACTTAGAGCTTTGTCCATGATCATCCACATCCACATGATAGTTAAGATCATGAGGCTGCGTTCCTCTGTTCCAATGAGATAGGAGCCTGCTGACGCCGAGAGATAGTCATGAACACGCGCCGATAGCTGGATCAGGACTTCCTTGCAGGTTGTTGATTCAGGGTGAACCTCACTCAGGCGATTGGCTTTCCGTAATTCAAAATCATCAATATCAGTCAACTCGCAGTGATGCTTGGGAAACTTGCGATATTCGATTGGCATGGCATATGTATCAATTACAGTCTTCTTTGAAAACGGGTGATTGAGTGTTGCAAAATACTTTGAACTGTTTGCAAGGCTGAGTTTGAAATTCATTGGGGCAGCCATGCGAACTCTCAAGGGCTGAATGGTTCATGAAATTCTTTCTTTGCAGCCGTTCCAGATATTTCGAAGAACTCTTCTTGATTGTGCGATATGTTGCTGAAAGCCTGGGCGTAGCTGCGATGAAGAATAGCATACACTTTCGAGAGCTTAAAACGATTTGCCCTGTTCGGCTTTTGCCAGACGGCGGCAGAGTTTCGTGAGAAGTCCATGGGAGGTTTCTGGGCTCAAGCAGCCAACCGATTCGTTCAGGAGACGTGCATGGATCATACACATCATAATTTTATACAACGCTTGTGCCACAGCTGGGCTGGACAATAGGGTGAGATGACGCAAGACACCCACGCGCAACAATAACCAGAAGGGCGATCGTCTCCAAGGAAGGCTGCTTTTCTCGGCAACGTCCTGTTTCTCAGCAGCGCGCTCTGTCCAGCGGACTTCATCCCTCACGCGCTTCCGGAGTGTACTAACGACGAGGGTTTTGCCTATTCCTTCGAGCAATGTGATGAGTAGGCTTGTAATGAGGGCTGGGTTCGTGGTAGCTCTCAGCTCAGCCACACCTGACTGTGCTTTTCCGCTGACAGCTAGAAAACTTGTGATCCGCTCCAGGCTGGCCCGTTGTAGGAATCGGCCAAGTATCTCTGGAAAGCGCGATCTCCGAAGACAGTGGCGGGAATTGCTGCTGCAGAGGTTGGGAAGTCCCACTGTAAGGTACCTTTCGATTTAAGGACATCTTCAGACCTCGGCGAGACTTCAAATGCCTCGAAGAGGACGTGGTTGGCGAGGTCATGAGCACCTCGGTGGATAAGGATGCCAGCATTCTGCTTATGTACATGTATGATGAGGATTCCGTCATCTTTAAGATTTTGAAATGCGTCCTCCAAGGCTCGACTGTCGAGAGAATGTGAGCTATGAACGAGACGACAGTGGCGTAGTGAAGGACAGATTATCGAGCGTGGAGGCAAAGTAGCCACTCGTCTGTCGGTTGAGCTCTTCACAAGCTGTCGGAAATCTCCCTAAGAGATCGATGTTGACTTGACGGAGATTCGAGTCGTCAGTGCCAGGCAGGTTCGGCGGGAGAAGTATGTGGTTGACAACAGCCTGGAGCTGTAGATTAGGGCAGGCCATTGCGGATCTGCATTGCAAGAAGAAGGATAGGATTTGGTGAGCTGATGCGATACGATCAATCTAATGACAAGGGAGTTGTTGGTGGGTGGTAAGGGTGCGGGTGAACGCAGGTGAGGAAGAGGTGAAGATCCTGGGAGAAGGGTTCATCACACATTCAACAACGTGACTGCCGTTGTGCGGTTAGGCAGTACCCAAGGTCGACAATCACATTCACTGCCTCGATGAACACGCGTGTTTCTCGACTTTCAAGTGAAGAGAGGCGAACACTCGCAAAGTCGAATTCGAAGTAGTGGTTGGGGAGATTGCTTTCGAGATTAGGCCATGAGTTGCCTCAGATCGAAGATAGCTTCCTTCCACATCGTAAACCGTTCCAAGTGCGCATATAACATGTTATCATCTTGACAATATCATCAACGAGGGGTCAAATTTGTTGGCCAGCCTCATGACAAATTGGAAATTGCCCACCCTCTGCAGCCTCCCGAGCCTCTTTGTTTCTTCCCCCCAGGTCCATGCGTCTCTTCCAACATATTCGCCAGTAGGTTCTACCAGGGCACGATCGAAAAGTTCCACGGGCTAGAGGGTGGAACGAGTGCTATCTGATGGATAATTTGTTGCCTCTGCAATAGAACTAGAGCAGGCGGTCGAAATCAAGACATACTCCAGAGCCAGTTACTCCCCGATCCAGAGGCGCTGCCAGAAGCACCGAAATCTAAGTTCGACAAGAACAATGCATCATCCGCATCCGCATTCAGTTGATCAGCAACGAACAACATATGGTCCTGCGAGAGCTCAAATTGTTCTGCAAGGTCTGGAGATATTAGGTCGAGGGGTGTAGTACCATGTGTCTGCACTGGTGAGGTGAGGATTCGAGTATGCGAGACAACCGCTTCTTGTTCTCTGCCGGAGGCTGAGTTGTGATAGTTCGCTATACTGACGGCTCTGTCAGCTCCAGAGATATTCTTCATTTGATCTGCAGAAGGAGCGCTGGTCCGTGAGTGGGCTTCACGGTCTTGGAGATGCTTCGTCTTGGTCCCATACATTGCAGCAGGGAATCTCTCCCAGAGTCTTTTGGCCAAGCGGTTGAGCCTGTCTAACTCACTCTGCCGCAGCTGCGCCGGAACACTTCCTCGCTGTTTCATGTCAAGCAAGATTTTGTTACCACGACGTTTGACACTGGCCCCAACAGGAACTATCCGCAGTATGTCATCTAGGATGATCAGAACCGAGGCAGCCGAGCTGGTAAACTCAAGGTCAAAGGGGAGGAAGTTATCCAGCATGTTATTTTCAGCCAAAGCGCAAAGAATGGCAAGCGTTTTCGCTGCAGAATCTGCACAAGTCTGGAGCAGGTCGCGTATCGAACCCGTAAGGTCTTGCATCCCAGTGCCGTCCTGGAGCGATTTCAATCTTTCCTGCAGAAGGCAAAGAAGAAGGGGTCTGATTGCCAAGATGATGCACTATCAACTCAGTTAGCTTATGCGAAATGCACCAAATGGTGCTCAACGAGTCAATAAGACATGTGACTCCGAGGAAATACAAACCTGGTGATACAGGAGCCGGAGGTGAGTTGCCCCCTTTGACAATGTGTCTAAGGAACTCTTGAACTTGAAGTTAATAGTGCCTTCAAGCTCTTCAGCAATCTCAGCCAACCTTCTCAGAAGAGATCTAATTTTAGAAAGATACGAGGCTTCGAGACTACCGTCTGCACTGTACAGCTCTTTTCATTTTTACCGAAGAGTTAGCGTCTAGCGAGCTGAAGATACCTGAAGCTTTCGAACGTACCATTCAAAATCTGAGAAATCAGTCTAGACAGCCTCACGTGAAGGCTCAAGGTAGCATTACGCTGCGAAGATTGCTGAGGCGGAGCAAGGTAAGCCTTGATATCTTCATCCTGGACTGAGGTCGGAGCGCCAACAGCTGATGACAAAGTGCGATCTAGGACATAGGCTGTCCACCAAATATTTGCGCACCTTTCGGCAAGCTTTTCTCCTAGTAGATCGGCAGGAATGCGAGTATGCATTCCATCCACTAGTGCAATACGCAAAGCTCGACCAATCTAGCACAACGTGTGAGTAGGGCATAGCGAGCGAAGGATTGGTAGATAGATTGGCAAGGCTTACATAGGAATAGGCAGTTTGCCTCATATCAAGGCAGTAGAAGTAGAGGGCAATCAGATTCAATACTTCAACTGCCAGGACCGGCTCCTCGTGCAATTCCGGGGTATCGGGTAACACAGACATTGCTCGTGTGAAGAACTCAGAGCCTGAGAGCCCTCCTGGGGTTTTGGGCCCGTTGAGGAAACCTTTGCCAAAAGCCAAGACTAATAAATATTGAGTATACCAGAGCCTAGAGCTTCCGACTTTCTCAGGTGCTTCAGCGTAGAACTCATGGAGGTGCTGTAAAAATTCATTTTCATCGAACAGACGAAGAATCCCCCCCAGATGGAATTTCACCGTGTTGGTCAGATATATGGCGAAGTCCAAGGACGGGAGTCGGCTCAGGTCAGGCCTCTCCTCTGGGCTAATGTGTTTCCATGAGAACTTGTACGCATCTCCATCGAGGCTGAAAGCACTGTCTTCCTCAGGCCCTTCATCATCAAAAAGGTGCTCCTTGATGATTGATACGGCTCGAATATTGAAAGACCACGTAGAAGAGGTCCCAAGATAAACTGCGGCTGATCAGTACTACTACCCACTTTGCTTCATTGGAGCATACTGACGCCATCTGCGACGCTTGTTAGGTCTGTTCCGGAGAAAGAAAGAGGGTGTATCTGTCTCCTGCGGTTGAGCACCGTCTGACCCGACAAGGCCAAGTCCCGCGTCGGCAGCATGAGCACATCTTCTGCTATACCCGGGGGTCAATGGCTCTGAACTTCCAGCGATTTCCGAGGCGTGCGCTGCTCGTCTAAGATTCTCTAGATAACTAGAAGCACAGTCATTGGCAAAGATGATTAATTGCCTGTTGAACGCAAATGTAATTACCTCTCAGAGACGACCACTCTTTTCTCCTTGTCATCAAAAATGCATTCCTTGTTTCTCCTTCGACACCGATCACAAGGCTGGGTCCCCGAACATTTGAGTTTACTGTGACGACATCGTTGACAACTTCAATCAACACAGGTTAGTGGGGATTTTATGGATGGAGAAGGGATTAGCGATATCACCGAGGCTGAGCTGTCAAGCACAACAGTAGATGGAGCAGAACTAGTCAAGGTAAAGTGCCTATGCAAACGATCCAGCTCTCGGCTGTTCATCGTTTGTTCACACCCGCCAGAAGCTTTGATAGGATAACGTGCGGCGCACATGGCCCTGACTTACGCATTGGTAGCACGCTTCGGCTCATTGTCCGATTTACGTCTTGCTACGGACATTTCTGATGGTGAGACGTAGATGGGAAGAGAATTACTCCGTTGGGATGCAGCACATTTGCGATGGAACAACTTGAGTCAGGACTCGGAACTTGGGAGACTCTCGCAGCGATACAATGGCTGGTCAGTGGTGGCACGATGGAGAAGGTGTGCCGAATCTCCCGGGAAGCCCCTTCCAAGGCGAACGTCTGTGGCTTGGCAGTGGCACGTTAGGGCACACCAGAGGAACAGGCAAGTGGAAGTGGAAACCTTGTGGTACCTCGCTCTCTCGTCATGTTAGGGCTTCCCAAAGGTACCCGAAAGGACTCCGTGCGAGTCAGTACTTGAGTGCTTAGTAGTATCACTTGTCGTCCAAACCACTGTGGTCCACCTCCGTGGACCCAGCACAACTCGCACTTGTATCCCATCATGAATTCCAAGCACAAAGTACGGAGACTCCGTACAGGGTAAGCAAGGAGGATCACAACAAGTCATTCCCTGTCCATTGAGAAGGGCAACCTTTTACGATTAGCACGCACCTGGACACACCACGTCTCACGGTAGTTGACCGTTAAACATCACCAGGATGTGCCTCCATCACTGCCTCGTAAACCCGAACGTCGACTCCAATGTGAGAAAGCAGCCAGCCACGCAGCTCGCAAGAGATTCAAGCCCTCAAAATCAAGACGCTCTTCGTAGAGCAACTTAAACCTTTTAACCATCAGAGATGGTATGCTTCTCGAATGGACCGAGCATCAAAATCCGGGTTGGACGGCTCCATGACCATGACTTTGGGAGTTTGAGTTTCAGGTGGTTCCGGGGAGCCATGAGGGCCGATGCGCTACTGTGCAGAAGCTCCATGTCTAGCGAATGGTTGACAAGATATGCATTGGGCGATCCCGCTATAGGTATTGTCTCCGGGGCCCTCACTCCACGTTCTCACCTCTTCCCGAGTACAGTACTCTGGACTCGTACTCTGTACCATCCTTCAGGAATCAGGGGTCAAGACCAGTGTTTCACTTCTTTTCGTGTGCAGGAAGTTGGGTCTTCCGGGCGAGGATTGCCTGTCTACCTGAGATACTTCACCAAATTTGTTGGAGGCCACATCCTACTCTCAAACACTCAGAAGGTGCTCCATGTGTTTTTGAAAGAACTCCATAACAAGACCGGAATGTGGGTGCGGACTTTTTACTCAATCGTACACTTATACACCGAACCCCAAGTCCCCTGTTATTGTATGCGAATCGGGTGGTCTCTCGAAAGCATGTGGTTGTTCTTCTATGTACGGAGTCCGCATATTACTTGACTGAGATAGCCAAATGTGGAATCATGGCTAGCTCAAGAACACGGCAACGGCAAGACTCCGCCATCGGCCCACTCACCACAATATTGATATTATCAGGGGCTGCGGGTAGTTGCTTGCCTTACGACTTTGACCCATGCCTCGAAACGTCGTCCCACTTCCCCGTCACAGGATCGACTGCATTCGACAATTCCAGGCGGTCGCTCGCTAATACTCTGGCAGGGATTCCGAATGGCCAGCTCAAACCATCTAGCCACATACATTAGGCTGTCGGCAATCCATAATCTTCGCTAAAGCCACGATGGTCCGAACCAGGCCCGTGCTTTTTCTTCAACTGGTACGGTCGAGGCTCCCTGTCAAGTTTAGTGCACGTGTATGTGGAGGGGCATCCCAATCCATTTGGAATAGTTCTCCCAGTTCATCGTGCAGGGCTCACCTGTTTGTAGAGTGTCTAGCAGCTACAGTAGTTCCAAACCATTCTGTAACGACGTCTTGTCCCGTCTTCCCTTCCCGCCTTTCTGGCCCGAGGATGCGGTCGAACCTGTTAGGGACCCATGGCTATCATGATCCAAGTATGCAAGCGCCATTAGACGAGGAGTAACTAGAAGCTTAGCAACTGGGTTCCAGAATATCGCCCTTGCAACAAAATCTTCAAGAACTCGCGTTTCCCCACTGGACGTATGCCTGTTTCTGGTCACCTCTTCGCCGCATGCACGATGAAATCTACGCCCACGGTATTCGTCGCGCTCTTTTGTGTGCGCCAGCTGGCGCTTGGTCAAACATTGACTATGTCGCCATGTGCGGTAAGTTCAGTTCAACAAGTACGGAGGTGGCCAGTCTCTGATGTGCTTTGCCCAGACAAACTGTACTGTCCAATTGACCAGTAGCTTCACATCATGCTCAGGTATCGAATGCTTCTGCGATGATCGCAAACTAGCGCAGCTCGGCTACAAGTGCTTCGAGCAGAATTGCACAGTCCGGGAGGCTCTAGGTGAGGCCAACTAATATTCGGGACCGGCTTCGAGCTAGCTAACATGACTAGTTGCACATAACATCACCGCCCTCACATGCAGCTTCCCTGATAGAGATAGGGGCGTGGTCAGTTCAGCCGTGACATTTACTTCTCTTGCTGTGGCCCTTTCGCTTGTGGTCACGAGAGCCATCGTTTTTGCGGTCAGCAGAGTCTGGGGGTGGGATGACATTGCTACCGGATTTGCAACTGTGAGAAGACCAGTCGATATAAAAAAACAATTCCAACTGAGCAACGCATATAGATTGTTATGATTGGCAATGCCGTGTGTAATCCTATATGTGAGTACAATGCCTGGTTCTCACATAAGGTCGACAGCTAACAATTTGCAAGCACGACATTATGGCTACGGAAAAGACATTTGGAGGCTGTCATTCAGCCACACCGCGACAGTACTGAAGGTAGGCTGGCACTTCCCATTTTACGAGCGGGCCTGTCTTGACGTTAAACCACCCACAGGTCTTCTTCATTGGAGGTATTTTCTACACGCTCGGGGTCGCACTAGTCAAGATAGCATTCATATGCTTTTATCTCAAACTCTTCCCATCCCGTGGCTTTCGCAAGGTTGCGTATCCTCTACTTGTCATCTCAATCCTATACGGCGGCACCTTCACTTTCTTGTTCATATTCCAATGCAGCCCTATCTCTTACGCATGGATGCAGTGGGACGGAGTGGCGGAGGGGACGTGTCTGAACTTTGACTTGGGCGCCGTTATCCATGCCATTGTCAACATCTTGCTAGACATCGCCATATTTGCTCTTCCGTTGACCCAACTCTGGGGCTTGAATCTTTCGCGCAAAAAGAAAATACACGTTATGCTCATGTTTTCCGTTGGTTTCTTGTGAGTGAACACACGCCCAAACAAGAACTTCTTTGCGTATGATCAGGTTAACTGATGATAAGATCTATATAACAGTGTTACGCTGGTGAGCATCCTCAGACTTTATACCATGGTGGGATTGGCTGGCAGTATGAATGAGACTTGTGAGTCCCTATCAGCCCCCTTCTCCTCTATCAAAATGTAGGCCTGCTTACTAGAACATCTCTACAGGGGATTATGTGCCATTTGGTTATTTCACGGATCTTGAGTTCAATATAGGTATTGCTTGCATTTGCATGCCCTCGGTTCGTGTTGTGATGCGTCGATACTTTCCGAACTGTGGAATGGCAACTACAGAAGGCGGTTCGGCGACTGTCCCAAGCAATCAACAAGCACCACGACTCGTGAAGATCCCCGCAAAGACCTTCTCGAAGACGACCAAGTCCTCGAATCGAGGAGTTACAGCGGACACGAGCTCAGATCAAATGGAACTTTGTTCCTACGACCGGAGATGAGACGGTACAATTATTGGCATTTCCGAATTGACATATGACAAACTAAAAGATCAAGCACAGAAGGGCCAAGATCTAGGCAGTCGAATGATATCCTTCCTAACTGCCCATGGATTTGTCACATTGCTATGCCATCGAAAGCAGCAAAACTAACAAGGCACAATACAATAATGGACGCCCGAGGAAATACAGCCTGGCGCTCTATCCGCGCCAATAACACGCTGGGGAAGCCGATGTTTAGGGATCGGATAGCCGTCCCGACATTTTCCAGAACAGCAAATCTCGGGAGATCGGAGCCTTGTACCGAACCCTGTTACAAATCAGTCGATCCTGTTATTGCAGCAGATTAAACTTTCGCCTATCCTTTACGAGCTCTCTCAATTTGTAGATTGCAAAACGAAGACCTATATATCTAACCCTCATCACCAGTGTGATACCGCTCAATTTGAAGAGCATAAATGGGAAGCGCATCGGACCCGTCTTTGGTGGTCTGATTGTTCGGCGATCGCTGGGCCGCCATACGAGGCTGGCACTGATCGAGATATCCTCTCGATATGCGTGTCACAAGCGCGACGAGGTTCGGCCCAGTCAAAGGCTTACCACACGGGGAAGCCCACCGGCATAGTTTCCCGGTGATGGCGCTTGTCCATCACACGAGAAGCAGCACAACAGCACCAGGAGCAAATCCGTTTGTTTTAGGTTCAAGGTATGCAGATTTCAGGAAAGTGCAAGCCAGTCGACCTGAGTTAAATCGGACATCACCGGTTATTACGACACAACCACCAAGTCCAACGTGGAAGTATGGGGATGGAGCTCGAGTCGGCGATTCATTCCAAGGTTCAGATAGAAGTATCGCGTCGATTGAGCAATCCCGATTGGAGCAAACTCAGCGCCATGTACAAATTGACCCCAATGCGTCTGACCGAGCAATGATTCAAAATTACCAAGTCCTCATATCGGGGATTCCCAGGCCGATTTCCTTCGTTAGCACAGTTTCTACTGATGGATCCAAGAATCTCAGCCCCTTCAGCTACTTTCAAGTTGTGGATCATGATCCCCCCATTTTCGTCATCGGCTTTTCGGCCCGCCAGGCCAGACCCAAGGATACAAGACGCAATCTATTGGAAACAGGAGAGTGTGTTATCAACATTGTCAGCGAACACATGATCGAAGCAGTCAATGCCACCTCGCTCGACCTACCGTATGGTGCCTCTGAATGGGAGCTCTCGGGGCTCACTGCAGCCTCGTCAAGCACTGTAAATCCGGAAAGAGTTCAGGAAGCGATATTCAGCATTGAGGGCCGTTTGCTTGAGATGAAAGAGCTCGACTACGGCAAGGAGGATAGCACTAAAGCAAATGGAGCATTGGCTATCATCGAAGCGACGAGATTTTGGGTTCGTGAAGATGCAATTAACGAGGATCAAAGCCATATCCGTCTAGAGAAATTGAGGCCTTTAGTCCAGCTGGGCGGCATCTCTTATGGTCGAGTAAGAGAGACTTTTGAACTGCCCAGACCCCGGCTCGAAGATGAGTTGCGGGATAAAGAGAAAGGGTTGCAGAAATACTATAAATCAGAGTCCGAGTCATTGACATAGGGGGCGGCCCTACCAAAAGACTATCGCTCCTGCCTGACGATGATGCCTTCGCTAAGGCTCCTAAGTAGTTTCTTCTAAAACACCCTGAGAGCTGGGTAGGAAACCGGAGGTCCATTCCGCCCGGTAGTCCTTTGGGATAGCAAGCATGCGAACCTGTTTTCGTTACGGGTGGACTAATGTGGATGCAGATTGTGTCTTCTAGCATCTGAAGCATCTACGAGTACGGCGAGGCTGGCTGACCAACCTGAGTAAGCTACTCACCAGACAGAGTTAGACAAGGTGTGGCAAGCCGGGCATGAGGTCGGCCTTGGCAGCTAAAGCTGGGTCCGTTATCGTAAACACTTGCATATCGGCTCTCATGGAACTTAGCTTTTGATTGAGACGTGAACAGGAATCGAAGGCTTGACAACGGACTCTTAATTGCTGCCCTCGTTGAGAAACCGGTGTGCTGCCCTGCAATCAAGTTCCACCTAGATCGACCCGAACAGCTCTCCGTTTTGGCTAATGGCAGCTCCTCAGCAAGGAAATTCACATGTCTTGCAATGGCAACCTCGCCAAAATTGCTTGCAGACAAAGGTAGGAGATTTGCCGTGAGCGACAGCCTCTGACTGACAATCAAGACTGCTACATTTGCAATCCTCGGCGCATTCGCTGCGACCGCACACTCCCGACGTGCGTAAAATGCGATCACAAAGGCCTTGATTGTCCAGGCTATGGTAATCGACTTCGATGGAAATCTATGACTGCACGTGAACAAGGGCCTAACTCTGATAGTAAACATGGCTTGATCTTCAAAAATCAACATTGCAGTGACGAGAGCATCGCGCGTGCGGAGACTGAGCCTCCGGCGCTGGAAACAAGTGTGTCAGGCCAACCGATTCACAGTCTAGAAGGATTGCCTACGTCAGTCTCCAAACAGCTTCTCGAGTTCTACTGTTCCAACATTGCTCCTATGATGGTGTGGCTAGACTCCAAACAGAACGAATACAAGAGACTCGTCATTCCTCTAGCCGAGACACAACAAGTACTTAGACTTGCAATCATGGCAATTGCAGCTGCCCGCGCGCCTCACAATTTCGATGTCGATGACAGTTTCTCCCGTCAGGCTTATGAGGCTGCTCTGAGATTAATTACCGAACGCATTCGAGAGATGACTGACGTTGAGTTTCGCGATCAACCCGTGGACACAGGCCCAAATGCTAGCACCAACGAAGCAACACTTGCTGCTATGCTCATACTCTCCAATCACTCTCTTCTTGGGTCTGATATAACTCAAGCCTAGCTTCACCGCTAGGCCGTTCGGATCCTCATCAAGGCAATAGCTTATACCGGCACACCAGACAAAGAGCTGTTTGACTTCCTCCAGAATCAGGCGGCCATTCACGATGTCTTGGTTTGCACGACGATTTTTGATCCAGAATACATCAATCAAGCGACACTACCGAATTGTAAGCAGAAAGAGGTTATGTTTGGCCGATTCCTGTGCTATTTGCATCATATCACCACGTTGTCCATGACAGATGCAGGACATCCATCTATCGGTGAGTTGGAAGACGGTTTTGAACTTGCGTGTTCTTCGACCATCATGGCCGCAGCTTCAATGCGAACGATCTGGCAGACCAATCACGGACGACTTTACACGCATCGTCCGAATATACCACCATGCAGGCGTCTTATATGGATGCAAACGGCTCCACATTTTCCAATGAGAGCCTACACGAAGAGTATCATAAATCGAGCTTATTTCGATTGTTTGATCAATTCGAAGACCTGGGTACATCATTGTACCACCTTGCCTGGCCGATTTTAGTGGCTGGGATCTGCAGCTGGCCCAATATTGAAAGAATGCGCCTCGTCAGGTATCTTACTAAGGTTATGCTTGAGAAGACTAAGTTCTGGTACTATAGCAGGATTGTAGCTTTTCATGAGGAGCTATGGGAGAGCTCTCAGTCTGATTGGACCAAACTTGCTGCTGATTGGGAGAGGAGAGGCCTGCAGATCATTGCAGTCTAAACTGCCTCCTAGAAGTCTCCATCCGAACTTAACAGGTACCACAAGAAACAATTCACTCTTACATAACGATCCGAAAACCTTCACGGAGTGTTTATCTCGCTACTTGCACCAGCGGGTGTCTGGATAGAGTGACCTAATCAGGTCTCGCCTGGCTCCCAGTTCCTGGTCAATGGGCACTTCTGGATACGTCGGATAATTCCAGAAGAATACTTGGATATAAGCTAGGAGAGGGTCTGGTAGCGAGCCTGAAGCTCTCGAGGTGCACGGCCCTGTGCTGCGATGCGCCACCGACCCGACTGACTATGATTACCAGAACTGTTATAAATTTACCACTATCGATGCAAATCTCAGTGAGCTACTCTGTAGCGTCTATCTCAAAGCAGAATTCGGCTCCTGAAGGACAAATTCATGTTGTAGGCCTCCAGAACGACGGGAGCCAAATCGAAACGGCTTCAATCACTGGATCCAGTATCCACTGACGAGATCTCACCATGAAAGCTCACCAGCACCATGTTGCATGGTCTCATTCCCAAAGTCAGACTTCGATGTTTCGAGATCTCGACATACTTCAGGATACCCAATTAGCCAGCTGCATGTGATGGTACAGGATTTGCACTTACGGTTTTGTGCCGCGCTATCGTTCATGTTTGCACTAGCCATGATGTCTGAAGCTGGCCAAATGGAATGGCCCGCAGTAGCCTCAGCATTCAAGTGAGACTTGACCCACCCTAGAATAGTCGGAATATGTGCTTTATCAGGCCTGATGTGGATGTGGTTAGCTTTCCCAGAGATAAGGCTGAGTGATTTTGAGCTTACGGAGGATTCATCAGTTTGCTCTTTGCATATGCCGTCTGCAAAGACGAAACGCAGTGGACTATCTCCTCTTCGATATCCGAACGGATCGATGACGAGTCTGAGATGGCAGGGCTTGAGTAGAATGCACATTCCAGAACGCACTTCTCCGCTGCAACTGGGCGCACTTTGATCATGAGCAAAGAATTGAGCTCCTGATCATGCATGATATCGATCAGTACGTTGGGTTTCAAGTGATCGGGGCCTCTTTGAAAGTTTAGGTAATCGAATAGAGCTCCTAGCAGAGTTTTAGGAGTATGTTTTCCGATGATATGTGAAAGATCGAAGGCATCTGCAAACTCTGCACTGGTTTGTTAGAGGTGTAGGTCAATCTAGAGTGTAGTCGAGCATTTACCGGCGAACTTCCAATTGAAATGGACCTCGACTTCCCAAGACTCCATGCGGTAGTTGCTAAACCTGCTGACGTCGGTCGGAACAGGTGGTTTAGGAAGAGCGCCGACGTTGACAAAGACCACTCCGTTGGCATCAACCCGAACACTGATTTCGAATAAAGAGATTTCGCTTTTGTCAAAGCCATCAAGTCCATCGAATTTTGGCGCTTTGACAAGTTTCCCTCGAAGGTCGTAGCCCCAACCGTGATATCTACAGCTAAGGACCGGGGTGCAACCAGACTGTTTCATTGAGACAACTGGGTAAGCACGATGTCGGCATACATTATGGAATCCACGCAAGACGGAATCTTTTCCTAGCACTAGAAATATCGGGTATCCTGAAGGATGATCAAAAACACGATATGAGCCTGGTTTGAAGAACAGGCTTGCATGAGCAAGTGCTATTGGCATCTGTAATATGATAAGCCTAAGTGGACAAGTCCCAAATGGAAATGGTCTAACCTTTGCGAAAATTGCTCGTCGCTCGAGTTCTAAGAGCTCGTTCGATGTCCACCAATTTTGGGGATAATCGGACTGTTTCGTGACCACAACATCCGTGCTTGCATCAGTATCGATTTGAGCAACCATTTCTCGCATGGAAGTCCTGTACAATGGCTCATAATTCCCTGGAGTGGGTTGGTGCTTGATCCAGAAGATGCCTATTACTGCCAAAGCCGCTATTACGCTCCACACATCAGCCTGTCCGGACATGATAACTTGTACCAGTTGACTGAGAAGACGTCGATATGGTCAAGTTCAAAAGGGATCTGATGAGTATCTCCGTCCCATACAATCAGTATTACTTCAGTGTTGAACCTGAAATATCCTGAAAACTTTGCGAATAGGCTTCTTTATAGGTTTTTTCCGCTTTGCGATGGACCGTGAAGACTGTCTCTAAGTCCTCACCTGCCCTTATTTGCTAAGTATAGTGGCGAAATGACAAATCCTAACCTGTGAGCTGGTCAAGGATTATTTAGTGTTATCTGTAGCCTGATGATGTCTCCCAATTATATCTTGAGAGCCCTATCTTCGATAGGCGCCGGCTGGTCCCCGTCCGTACAGATCAAATATATGACGGTATCTTCACACACAAGTTTAGTTCCAAACGCGCGTTTATATAGTGCCTTCTCCTGTCCTTTACATCTACAGAGCTTACTCAAGCCGTGGATGCTCAGGACTACAGTTTGGTCTAACTTTACTGTTACTTCATACCCGACATCCTTTCACGAGGACACGTTGCTCCTATGCTGAGTCATAACCATTCTGAAAACCTTGTTCTGGTAATCTAGAATGAGGTTAGCCTTCAGACGTTTGGCCTGAAAGCTGATGGGTTCCACTTACGCGAGACTCCAGTTTCTTTGACGGGGTTTAAACATCCTTGAAAATAGATTCCTTTTTCCAAATTCGCCTGTGCACTTTCACATAACTCACCGTCCTCATCTGCAACCTGACGGACAAACTTGTAATAGTCTTCACAATCATCAGGGGAGTTATCGTTATAGTAGTCAAACTCTATCCGGCAAGCACCCACTTCTGGACTTGGGCAGGCACGGAACGATGACATACCGCCGTTGTAAAGATTCAGCGTAGTACAGGGGAAAAAGTAAAGAAGCAACCCGTCATCTTCACGGTTCGGGTCCGAATAATGACGGGACCAGTTCTCATGGTTGACGACGTGGTACGTATCCGCTGGATAGAGCTTCGCCAACCCAGGATGAGTATATTGACAATGTAGACACTCTTGGAAGCCATCTATCATGGTTTTCCAATTGTACTTCCCGCTGTAACTTAACTGGCGTCGATGAGGCAGCCTCGTGAAGTCATAGGACTCCAACAACTGCTCTAGGCCGGGGAAGAACTCATTGAACGAAGGTGCAGCCGATGAGATTGTGGTAAAGACAAGTCCTGAGCGTGTCTGGTGAGACCGTAACTCCTCGTTCTGTTCCGTTGATATTTAGCAAGGGTTCCAGTATCACATAGAGCATTGAACAAACATTCACATCTGAGAAGACGTTGGTTTTTGTGTTGCCTGCAAGGTCCTCAACCTTTGCTGTCAGTCTCACTTGTGCGATTTCGTAGCGGACGCTTTGGGCATCCTCAAATTTGTTGATAGTTCCCAAGAAGAACCACGAACGTAGAAATACAGCATCTCGTTCTAATCTGTGGTATTTCTGAGACGTGTACCAATTGGCTGGGAGGGTTCTTTGGATAACAGCCATGGGCCTGGCTTTTGACCTAGGAGGCCAATTGAGCGATAGTTGCAGGATCCAACGCTGTGGCAGGACGTCTCAGCATCATGAGCCTTTATTTATCCCCTCTCTTCGGCGCCCAACCCAAAGCCATGGGCTCTTGTTTCTTTGCAGAAGAAGCACGGTCCCTTGAATTTGAAGTAGTTGGACCTTTGAAACCAAGCAATGAAGGCTGGGGGAATGTCCGGGTGCCTCCTCGTCAGTTTTGAATAGGCTTAGCTTCTCCAGAAAATGTCCAAAACCAGGCTAGTTCTCCATCTTTTCACCACTTTTATCAGCCCTTGCATTGGGCAGGCATGAACGAATCCCAAGTCAAGCCCAAGTCAAGCTTTAGGATCACGCAGGGCGAAGGTCACATATAGCGGGATGAATCGATCGATTCATCAATCCTCGTAACGACGCCGTCTCTATCTGACGATCTTGTTTGGACCTGGGCCTAGAGAGACTAGCGGTGGATCGAGTATTGAGCAGCTAGCACTCGAGAATCTCGAGGCTTATGGCTGCCATGATATTATCCCCTTCAAATGTGCTGTGCAGCGAGATTAAAGCCGTGTACTTCAACTCGACCTGCATGAAAGCAGTGATACTGTATTGTATGTAGCTTGGCCAGGGCTTTTAAATGACATGTTCCACCCCGCCAAGCGGAACATCTACCATCGCACATGTTACTCCATCATTCAATTTCTATCAAACATGGGTACATACTAATAAAGAGAAAAGCGTGGGATGTGATAAGTGAGGAATGAAGATCAGGTATGGCGCCCACGTTGTCGGCAATGCCACCGACCAGAGTACTCTCCAAGATTTTGCCAAATAAGGAAATCTGGAATGCCAAACCAGTCCACCGCATCTCGCTTACTCAAAGGTTCTTACCTCTCTCACCAAAAGCCTCGCCTTTCGCATCAATGTTACTTCTTCAAAATGCTCTGCCGAAGCCATCTATCAGACGGGGGATATTCGTTTCTAGCCCACGGAATGGTCCTCGTCAATCCTCGTCATTCCTCGTGCAGCAGCTCAGTCCATCAGAATGTCTTTTCGTGTCAGATGCTCTTGAATGCTTGCCCATACTTACGAGAGGGAACATTCCTTTGGTTGGCGGCCCATCTTGAAGTACCGGAACCAACAAGGCGTAACGGTCGTGCTACACGGGGGTAATTCTTGCCTTTTTGAGGAAAATGTGCAATTCTCGAGGAAATTATCGTGTATTGATCGCCAATGAACAATGCTTAAAACTTTTCAAGTGGCGAGTCGTGTTCTAACGGCAAATGGGGCGCGGTGATTCTCAAAGTCATAGATATCGCCTAGCTCAGCACCATTCCAATAAACCCATGCCGTCTTATGCAAAATTCGTGGCGAGGTAGATGGGGAAGTTGCGGAGAAAGTCGCAACTCAGGGCGCTAAGTCTCGTATCTTGGTGAGGGGGTTCTTGGTGGAACCATATATTTTGGTAAGCTCAGATAGGTATTTTGGAGGAGAAGCTTGTACACATGCAGCAAGCTGATTCTCCTTGCCTTCCAATAGATTCAACAGTGTGGTCACTATAGCGCACGTGACCCCAAGGTCTTATCTCCTGCATTCCTAATCTCAAATTCGCTTGACCCAGCAGTCTCACATACTATATCTAATCTTTGATAAAGGTTGTATGTACGGCAGCCGCGGCGTTCCCGCCCAGGTCGGCCCTGTAGCTATATCTACATGTCAAAGTGCTGATTTACTGGAAGTTGCAACCTGTCGTTCACTCCAAAGTTTTTCAGGCTCTCAATCATGTCCACGGACAGTATAAAGAAGACTCCGGACATGGAGGCGATGTCCCCTGTCCATACCATATCTCAAGGCGCCATCACTCATCGTGGGGATGTCGCCGGGCATGGCATCTCGAGACCAGTCACGCAAGGAATGGGCTCCACTAAGAGAGGTCTCAAGTCTCGACATGTTCAGCTCATGGCTATTGGAGGCTCCATAGGAACAGCGCTCTTCGTTGGTATTGGAGGCAGTCTCTCCAGAGCCGGTCCACTTTCATTACTCCTCGGCTATATGTTTTGGGGCATTGGCTTCATCTGGCCGTGCAATTTATATACGGCAGAAATGGTCGCCTACCTTCCTATTAAGGGCCAAATATTCGAATTGGCAAGCCGCTACGTCGACCCAGCAGCGGGATTTGCACTAGGCTGGACATATTTTTTCGGCGGTTCGATGCTGGTGTGTGTTGAACATGCCGCTGTTGCTGCAGTCATTCAGTATTGGAACTCGGACATAAATCCAGCCGCGTGGGTCACGGTCTCAATTGTGGTCTGTTACTTTCTAAATGTCGCCGCCGTCAAATGGTACGGAGAGTCCGAGTTTATCATGGCATCAACCAAGATCATCTTACTTGTTGGGCTTATATTATTAACTTTTATCACTATGGTCGGCGGAAATCCACAACACGACGCATATGGCTTTCGCTACTGGAAAAACGGGCTCGCCTCACACCCTTACTACACGACTGGTGCCACGGGCGGTTTTTTAGGCTGGTGGTCCTGTGTCCGCTACGCCGCCTTCACGATAGCGGGTCCTGATCTAATCACAATGGCTGCTGGCGAGATTCAGCATCCTCGAAAAACTATCCCAAGAGTGGCGAAGCTTGTCTTCTACCGTCTCGTGGGTTTCTATATTGTCGGAGTACTCGCAGTCGGTATCATCTGTTCCTCGCGCGACACTCGCCTCCTTGGCGCTATTGAAAGTGGCGGGTCCGGCGCTGCTGCTTCTCCTTGGGTCGTTGGAATCCAGAACCTCGGTATTGAAGGTCTGCCGTCTGTCATCAATGCCGTCATTATGTTATCCGGTTTCTCCTGTGGCAACGCATATTTATACTCGACATCACGGACCTTATACTCCCTCGCTCAAGACGGGCAAGCGCCAAAAATCTTTCTCAAATGCACAAAAGCAGGAGTACCTATTTATTGTGTGTCGGCTGTTAGCCTGATCGGCTGTCTTACCTACCTCGTTTCTTCGAATGGTGCCGTTACAGTCTTCTACTGGTTTGTCAATCTAACAACTATTACTTTTGTACTAGTCTACACAAGTTATATTTTTGTTTGGACAAGGTGGTACGAAGCCTGTAAAGCACAAGGAATAGATCGCAATAAACTTCCCTACCACGTCCCCTTCGCCCCATACTCGGCCTGGTTTGGGATCGGTGCAGGATGTACGTGCATGTTCTTTATGGGGTTCGACGTTTTCGTTCCCTGGGATACACAGGGTTTTATTACGTACTATTTCGGCCTGGTCTTCGGTCTTTCTACGTTCCTACTTTGGAAGTTATGGAAGAAGACAAAGTGGGTGTCTCCCGAGAATGCTGATCTTTACTCTGGTCTGGCCGAGGTCGACGAGGAATGCAAGCGCTGGGAGAGTCCCGAGGCGAACGAGAAAGAGCGGGAAAGGCTAGCACAGCGCAATTTCTTCAGTAGGGCTTGGGAGAAAATGTGGTAGATTAGCAGAAATAGTGTTGCACAGTGGCAATGGGCACGACAGTTTATGTAGTCGAATACTGTTCGTAGACACAAATCAATTTTCGTCTTTTGGTCAGCTTAATGTCCCTCGTCAGCAAAGTCATGCACGTCCTATCATTCAAGCCTAGCCTCACTGGCCCTCTCAGTATATCTAAGAATTTGGTAGAGGTATGATCATGTTTGCCCAGACTGCTTTGCTGTTGCTTAGCCTTCACCCCCAAGTCGCTGGTGAATTTACTGGCAAGCCAAAGAGAGGATGAAAACCTGAGTGAAAAGATCTGAGTCTGTGTTGGCTTCGGTCGCACAATAAGAGTCCGACTATGGAGGAGCACCTGCCAACTAGAGACATCATCATGAGATGGTACTAAAGAGAGAGATGTTCAATACTTAGCAGATAATCTAGAACAGCAGCCTAAAGGTGTGATAAGAGGCTTCTATTGGGTCGATGAGCCTTCTACGATGGCTAAGATTGACTGACAGACCTAATTCTTAAGCCTAGTATTCCGAAGCTTTTATAAGGAGTGTGGACAGGATGGCTACATCTAAGGCTCGAATACGTATATATAGCTAATCTAGATTGACCAACTAAGTAACAAAGGCTATATTCGTACCTAGAAGGCAAAACTATACTTCAACCTACAGGTAGACTTATCCCTTCCCACTTCCGTAGATAGTCCGATGAATACTAAGTGCTGAAGTAGATGAACGGGACTAAAAACCGTGATTTAAGTCGACCGTGAGAGATATTGTGCTTAAACGAGAACTAGTCCGTCCTTTACGATGTTGATAGGAACGTCGAAAAATAAATAAAGATGATAGCTCTTGAGAGAATCTATTCTTTCTTTCCTTGCATTGACCAAGAATTCTCCGTAGTTCTTGGTCTAACTTACAGTAATAAGCTATTAGGCAAATATTAAATATTAGTCTCTTCAAATTAGGATGCGGCTATAATGGGAAGGGAATATAGTCATTCCGAAGATAGTACGAGGGACTCGTTAGACTATATAGTATCCTAAGTACGGACTAGACTAGCGCCTAGGCGCTCCGGATCCGCTTCGGATAGCGTTCGAATAGCTCTCGGAGCTAGTTCGGATGTATTAAAGCGATATAGTAGACTAGGATCTTTATAATCGCTTAATATTAGTAATTATATCCTCTCCTACCTAACTAAATAACGGCCTTATTATAATATTAAGGGTAACGCTATTAACTCGCTAGTATAGTCTCCTAGATAGATTATATCTCTTATAATAAGTCCTTAGTACTATCTATATTATAATAATAATCTTAGTATTACTTTAAAGATATTTAGCTAAGTAAAGAAGCTTATATTTAATTTCGTATTAATATAGAGTATCGTAAAGTATATACTACGATAGAGTTATATCGGTGTTTTAGCCCGTAGCCTAGCGTAACCTAATTTACTATAGGAGCCTAGGGAGCCTAGGGCTATCGTATAGTAAGGATAGTTTTCCCTACGCTTATACTTTATAACTAAGCTCTTATAGTAACTATTTTCTACCTTATAAGTATACTATAATCGATATTTTTCCTATATTCCTATATATAATCGATATTTTCCCTATACTCCTATAGTCTCTATAGTAAACCCTCTTTCGCCCTTCTATTCTATCGTTTTAAGTACGTAATTCCTAATTCGTTTAATAGCTAGTATAGCTATACGTACTATATTTCTCTAAGTTTTATTATTTCTAGTCGTACCTAGATACGCTATACTTTATTATCTCTAGCTATACCTAGATACGTCGTACTTTCTCTCTAGATTTTATTATCTCTAGTCGTACCTAGACTTTATTATTTCTAGCTATACCTAGATACGTCGTACTATAAGAGTATAAGTAACTTAACGAGAACACTAAGATAATCGATTAATTACTATATAGTCCTTAGAACATCGACTATAAGAACTTAAGGAGTCTAAAAACCTCGTATACGATCCGTATAGCCCCTAAGGTCTTATATACTAGGCCCCTTAGTATTTTAGGACTAGTCTTAGTATAGGATAGGTACTTCTAGGGTCTACCGTAGTCCTATTCTATAATAATTACTCCCCTCCCCCGAAGTATACTCGTTCTCGAGTATAGAAGTAGTAGGTAAGAAGTAGCGTTCTAGTATAGCGCTATATACGTTCTATATTAATATTAGAAAAAACGTAATATATTTCTCTAATCTTAGGGTCGCTCCTAATCTTAATTTATTCTACTCTTAGGGATTATTCCGTATTTACTTTAGTTTACCTAATTCTAGCGAAACTTCGCGTACTTCTCGTACCCTAGTATAGTATATATAGTAAGCTATACCTATAAGGCTAAACTTTTTAATTATTTAGCTCTCGCTATTTAATCTTCGTTAAGGTCTTAGCGATTAGTCTCTAGGTAAGGAGTATATTAACCTTCCTCTACTCTATCTTTCTTCTTCTTTTTTTTTATATCTCTTATTCCTTAAGACCCTTTCCCTTAGTAAGTCCTATAGTTAGCCCTCTACTTTTTCCCTACTAATAGTATACTAGCTACTTATCTTCTTATCTTTATCTAGAATTTCTATATAAGTTTCTATTTTTTCCTAGGATAGTTAAAGTTAATCTAGTATACTAATTATACTTATTTAGTATACTACCTAGTCGAGCCTTCGTTCTATTAATTTAAAGGAATATTAGTAATAAGATTATCGAGTATATTTATATAAGATATATAAGATCCTTAGGAAGGAATAACTAAGTATTACTTAATAAGGGTAAGCTTACTCTTCTTATACTAGATATATACTAACTCTATTTTAGATAGAGAAATTTAATATAAGACTAAGAATAGGAAATATACTTAGTATAGAATCTAAGGTTATACTTATAAGGTAGTAAGTTTCCTTTTTTTATACTATTCCTATACTAACCTCCTAGGTATCCTTATATTTAATCTATACTATAAGGGTTCTAGTTAAGTTTACTATAGATTATATTAAGCCTAGTAGTATTAACTAGGTTATTTACTCTAGTAAGCTTTTTATCTCCCTAGCTATTCTCTTACTAACCCTATACTAGATTATTCTATTATAGAAGTAATTAACCGTATAGTCCGCTATATTACTTCTAGCGTTATATCTCGTAATAAATTCGTAAGCTTCTCGATTACTAAACTAGATAAGAAGAATCCTAATTCTATAATATCTCTTCTAATACTTAATACTATTAGAACTTTAGCTAAAGTCTAAGCTTAGGCTATAGATTCTCCTACTACCCCTATACTTTCCTTATACTAATACTTTCTCTAGGCCCGAATTACTCTACCCCCTTAGCTTAAAAGAGATTTATATAATTTAACCGCTAGTAAGCTTAAAGCTAATATAATAATAGAGGATATTAAGATTAAAGCTACCGATAACTAGCCTACTAGACGGGTACGACGATACTTCTATATAGATACTAATAGTAATAAGAATAAGCGGCTTCGTACTACTAATAGAGATTTCTATACTTTTACTAACTTAGAATAATTATTATTAAATAAACTTATAAAGTAGGTAACTCGTAAGCGATTCGTAGCTAAATTCCCTACTATACCTTTAAAACGCCCTAGAACTAATAGTCCTACTAAGAATTCTAATTATTATTCTAGCTTTAGTTCTAGCTTTAAGTAGATTTCTAGCTTTAAGTACTACTCTACTATACTAATAGTATACTTTTTTATCTTATATTCTACTTTTATAGATTTTTAAAGTTAAATTCTAACTTCTTATTATTCTTTAGCTCTATAGCTATTAAGTAGTAGTTATTTCGTATACCTTATATATATTATACTCTAAATAGGCCTTATAAAGATATCTTTATTTTATTTTTACTTTCTAATTTTTATTCGTAATCTTATCTACTCGGGTCCTTAAAGATTATATATCTCCCTAAACTTAGCGAGTAGCTCGCTCGCGTTTAGTAGGTATTCCGCGGGTTCCTAGGTATCTTTCGCCTTAGAGAAACCCTTCTACCTAACTAGATACCGACGTTCTACCTTAGTATCCTAGTAGTCGAGAATCTTTTCGACTTCCTACTATTTATCTCTATCTACGTCGATAGGCCTAGGCTTCTCGCCCTCGAATCGTATACGATACGATTTTAGTAACGATACGTAGAACGTATTATATAGCCTTCTATACTTCGTTAGTAGCTTTAGTATATAGATATTCTAACCTACTACCTTAAGTACTTTAAAAGGCTCTAAGAACTAGTTATCTAGTTTCTTACTTACTCTTCGCGTACGAATAAACTTAGAGGATAGTATAACTTAGTCTCCTAGAGTATATATTCGTAGTCCTCGGCGCTTATTATAGTACTTTACTATACTATACTATACTCGTTCCTACTATACTATAGTTTCTTATCGAGCTTCTTTAAGCGCCCTAGCTTTCGCTCGTACGAGATATTACGGGTTAAACCCGTATAAAGCTCTAGAGTACGCCCTAGAGCGATTACTCGTAGTATACCTTTAGGCTATATAACTATATAGCCGAAGCTACGTAATTCCTCTCTATCGATTATCTTCTAGGAAACTATACTAACCTACTATAGGAGAGGCTAGGGAGTATTTTCTTTATTCGTATAGTAGATAGATTTTCTCTTTTCTTTTCTCTCCTTAGCTTAAGAATCCTCGTTATACGATAGTTAGACGAATTACTCTAAATTCCTAGCTAAATCCTTATATTATTCTTAAGCTTCCTATTATACGTAGCGAAAGAATACCGCGTACGAAATAAATAACGAATAGTAACTAACGGAAACCGCTCTAGCGTAGGCGGTAGAGCTATACTAGTTCTTATAGGCTTAAAACTAAAGGATAATAGTACTCGAGAATTAACTCGACTAATAGAATAGAGTACGAGCTCGTACGTTTAAAGTAACGACTTCTACGACGATAAGCGCTATATAGAAATTCGACTCTATACGACGAAAGGCTAAGCTCTCCGAGCTAGCTA